TTAATTTCCATGACATTTTTTTACTGTACGCAGGCATCCGACTCCATTAATCGTCACAACGTAAATTCCACGTATGGGATCGAAGTCTAAATCAACGCTAGATTATTTGAGCCTGCCTTCAAACAAGGATCACTTTTCGGCATACGGTGTTTAAATGTTGTTACTCTTTTACTTATGCTGATTAGCATACTTATGCTGATTGATGATGCTTTCATCTCAAACAATTCGTCAGAGCACTCCCTATGGAGCATACGTAACGTGACCATACGTCCCGCTTTCATTTATCTGTTGTGCATGTGCTTATTAGAAAATTACCGAATACGTACTTATCCCAAAACCTTGTTGTATTTATTTATTTATTTATCGTATGGCATTCTTTTACACTGCGTGGTTATAATTTAATATAATTTTACAAAATACATACTAAAGTAACTCTAATTTTGTTGTGGAAAAGTACTTTTTTGTTGCGAAATTATTTATAAATATTATTTTAAGGGCAAGTTGAAATAAGGGTAAGATACCATAATAAATTATTTCAAGTCATTTTTTAAACCATATTTTTTTATTTTGCACTTAAATATTACATCTTACCTCGACATACCCTATATATGTATTTATTTATATACGAAATTTCGTAGGCGTCCCGCTTTGACACGATAAAAAAATGGTCACGTTAAGCATACGGTACAAAATACAGAGATAACTGAAGTCCCTTCGTAGATCTAGAGGTTCCAAACGATCCGTGAGAATGGGATTATCGACAATCCGAACGGAGTCAAAAGGAAATAGCTGGTATTTGGGACGACCCCCGACCCAGACGTGTCAGCGGTACTCCACGCGCAGCTGGAGTTGTGCATTATAAAGCAAAAGTCTTTGTCCAGGGGTCAAATATCGCTTCGCTCTGTTGAGGACTCCCAGCATTTTGGACGCCATCTTGGCTTTACCCTCCAAATGTCTCCGAAAATGGACATCGCTCGCAATGTCGATCCCAAGTATCCCAAGGGGAAGTTTGCAGGGATACTCCTTGGAATTGTGGCACCATGATAAAGGGGTTCTTCTTCGCAGTGTATATAGTGTATGGATATAATTTTAAATTATAAACGTATCCTCCTCCTCGTTGCGTCGATAATCCTCAATGCTGAGGGTTTTTATTTATTGCTTAGATGGTTGGACGAGTTCACAGCCCACCTGGTGTTAAGTGGTTACTGGAGCCCATAGACATCTACAACGTAAACGCGCCACCCACCTTGAGATATAAGTTCTAAGGTCTCAAGTATAGTTAAAACGGCTGCCCCACCCTTCAAACCGAAACGCATTACTGCTTCACGGCAGAAATAGGCGGGGTGGTACTTACCCGCGCGGACTCACAAGTAGTCCTACCATCATTAATGACGCAAATTATAATTTTGTGGGTTTGATTTTTATTACACGATGTTATTCCTTCACCGTAGAAGTCAATCGTGAACATTTGTTGAGTGCGTATTTCATTAGAAAAATTTGTACCCGCCTGGGATTCGAACACCGGTGTATCGCATCAACGCAAATGCACCGGACGTCTAACGCCTCCTCTAACAACTTTCTCCTGTATTATCCTGCGCCATTCCTGCCTATCCTTGACTGTTTGGATAGCAACGTAGACTGAAGTATTGAGAGTGGAGCGTATCTAGTCCGAAGTAAACGTATAATACAATTTAAAAAAAAAAGTTATTTTATAATGAACTAGCTGACTCGGCAGACTTCGTAATGCCTCAATCGATAAATAAAAATCTAAACTTCGGTATAAAATAAACTTAAAACAAACAAAAGAAATCCGTCCGACGGGGGACACATCAAAGGAAAAACAAAATTGTTACTTTTATTTAATTCCGAGCATTTTCATATTTATTCACCTTTTAAACCTTCTCTGGACTTCCACAAATAATTCAAGACCAAAATTAGCCAAATCGGTCCATCCGTTCTCGAGTTTTAGCGATACTAACGAACAGCAAATCATTTTTATATATAGAGATTACATGAACATTCACAAGGAATATTCTAAAAACCAGTGAGTCGTGTTTTACATTTAATAATTATAATTAATACATGTTGCATTTTAAAATTTACATATTTATGAGTCTCTGCACGTGATGCTTTGTTCAGTGTTCCTATTTAAATCTATTTTTTTAAATTCTAAACGACAGAACAGTATGTCAATTATAGGGAAAATACGTTTTATAGAATTGGACGAATTAAAATAATATAACGCTTTTTAATTGGCATTGGATGAATGCAAACTTAGCTGTTATTAATTTGTGTTGGTTTTTTTTTAATATCCTCATGGCGTTCATGATGAGCTCACCCTGATCCTTTAACATCCTCGTTCTTATCATCATGATGAGTCACCCGATGTTAAATATTTTTGTTGCTTAGCGCGAACACCCTTAAACATTTATGGGATTGAGATAGTGACCTGTTTCTAAGAAAACGGTATAACTGTGGTGATAGAGCGTATTGTCCCTATAAGGACCTATATATAGGTACTTCTGTCACGAAGAAGAGTTGCGTTCCGGCTTGAAAAATATAACCAATATGAGCATTTGAAATTTTGCCGGATTATCAGTGGAAGTCATGTACTTACTATCTATGCCCCGTTTAACGTCTGAGCTAGTTAATTTATTAATGTAATTAAAGAGACTGTTAAGCATTTCCACACTGTAATCTAGTATGTTCGATATTAAATTATTTGAGTGTAATAAAATCGAAATAATAACACGTATTCAGTTTATGTGTAATCACGGAGGACATACAATTAGCACAGCGCTTTGCCATAAATGGATAAGTAACACATCGCTATAGAGACGACATCGTGACTTCCCAAAACAATTTTTTTCGAGTACACAGCAAAAATATCTACGCGTAATGTAAAATTTGATACATTTAGTTAAAGTTAAAATTTAAAGTTAACATTTTTTATGAACTCCAATGTCTTCGGGAATAAGTTATTTTACAAGAACAACTCTCGTAGGTAGCTATACCGAAGATTTTGCTCAAGAATTATCGGTACAGAACCCTGCTGCTCGTACCGGAAATCAGGACTCACATGAGTAAATAAGTCATGTTCTACGGCTTATTAAACTCATCCACTGAGTTTCTCGTTGGATCTTCTCAGTGGGTCGCGATTCGTTCCCGTAGTAGATCCTGTGAAGCACTACTCTTGCTATTGTTAGCAAATTCTGTGTTTGAATCCCAGGCGGGTACCAATTTTTCTAATGAATTACGTACTCAACAAATGTTCACGATTCACTTCCACGGTGAAGGAATAACATAGTTTAATAAAAATGAAACCCGCAAAGTTATAATTTGCGTAATTACTGGTGGTAGGACCTCTTGTGAGTCCGCGCGGCTAGGTACCACCGCCCTGCCTATTTCTGCCGTGAAGCAGTAATGCGTTTCGGTTTGAAAGGTGGGGCAGCCGTTGTAACTATACTGAGATCTTAGAACTTATATCTCAAGGTGGGTGGCGCATTTACGTTGTAGATGTCCCTGGGCTCCAGTAACCACTTAACACCAGGTGGGCTGTGAGCTCGTCCACCCATCTAAGCAATAAATAAAAAAGGCCGCTTACAAGCGTAGTTGAAATATCACGGTAGTCTACCATCGAATAGGAAAAAAAATCACAAAAGTTCCGATATATTATTTTGGTATAATGAATTTTCGTAAAAAAAAAATTCAAATGATAGTACTGTGCAACGAATGAATTGTTTTACGATAACAAAATACCATTCTTTGCCATTAAATTGATCGAACAGAATAATAAATTTAGTATAAGTACAAGTGTTAGTGCGGAAGTGTCCTTCATTACAAATGATAGACTGGCATTATATTATAATATTATCAAGCATATATTTCGTAATCAAGATTATGTTTGTCTTTTTAACGACTCGATCCCTTGAAGATACTTTTTGAAGAACATTTTTAGAAACAGCTAACTCGTTTGTAGACCATATACATGTATCTAAATGATTGATTACTATTTCTATCGCGGAGCTGTCATGCATTCCAGTATCAAAGGAATTCAGCCGTTAATACCATACAATTGAGAGTTAGACCTCATTACCTCAAAGTGGACATACTTAACTCGTTATCCCGCTTGCACAATAAACGTTATTTAGGAGAAAATCTGTATTACTCCCGCGTTATTACGAATATTAAAAACTCTAAGCGTGTAGCTCCATCTAGTGAAACAAAACAGAAACTCGGAAAGTCTGAACTGAAACTTTAACAGCTGTTCAGCTATCGATTTTCCAGTTGCCCGCAAGCAAGTTCACTGCGTAACCACCTGCCAAATCACGGCCTCACTTTAGCCCAGTTACAGGCTATTTCTAGTGTCATCTCTCATAAATCATTCACAATTAAGGATAATTTATAGTTTCGGTTGAATTATGACTGCAACAGTGCCGATGGCATTGTATTTGCCTTGAAAAACATCCTCAAGGACTTGTTTGTGTTTGTTTTCCAATTAAAACAGTGATAAGGACGTAAATAATGGAACATTCTCTCAGTGCTGGTTTGCATAGAAGAAATTTTATAAGCACTCATTCTGATGATCTGCCTATGGATAGAATACGTTTAGTGGCGCCTATTAACAGGTTTACAATTTTTCAAGGCAATTTTAATAATGATGACGATGATTATCCAAGAAAGTGAGTACTGACATGTAACAAAAAATTAAAATAAAAACGTCAATGGAATGTAACTGGCAGTATACGACCCAACATTTGATTTCGCGACGAACTTTAAACACAACAAAAAATAGACGGAATATTTTTTTAATTTTTTTTTATAATAATACATTTTTTTTATAATAATACATAATAATACATACATTTTTTACAATAACATATGTAAAAAAAACAAGATCTTATTCATTAATTCTAGCTCGACTTTTCTTTTAATGCTCTACTTAACTACCCCTATTCGATAATAGATGGCGTTTATCTAACTCATTTTATTCTTTTCAGGCCTTACAAAACGAAGACCAAGTTGACAATTGCGGGGCTCGTCGTCCTCGTTATTTCATCAGGACTGGCCGGCTACTTCATAGGAGGTGCAGACTACAAGGCGGCACACCGTTTGGCGAATCCGCCGGACCCTATAGAACCATTGAAACCTTCAGCATCAACTTTACACGTGTTTCAAAAAGCGGCCGTTTGCACGGACTCGCCGCAATGCTCACAGATCGGCAGGTGTGTACCTAAACAAAACAATGTATTCTAATAATATTCTCTAAGCCAAAGATCGAAATTTTGGTAATGTTCGATGAATATCCGGAACGTTCTATCAAGTAGGTTGAATAAAAAAAATTATACATCATTTTTAAATATCAATGCTTTTTGAGCTTTGCATAACATTGCAGGTCTGTTTCATAAATATAGCAAATAAATTTTGAGACATCACATAATTTAGTTTTCACATGACTCCTAGTAAAAAGCGGCCTGTTCCAAAAAAAGCTCTATTATAAGATTCGGACATTATCAGAAGTCAGGCATCATAAGGCATCATTTAGAAATATGTAGTAGTCAAATACGCAGTAGTATGGTGAAATTGTCTTAAAAACAGTTTGAAAATCATGAACATTTACTTTCCTACATATCGCTAATATTTGTACTTTTGGCATATTAAATATGCACACCTAATCCAATTTCCGATTAATCGTATTGTGGTAAAATAAAAATAAAAACAAAATAATAAAAAAAGCTTTAACTTTAACTATTCGATACTAGAGAGCAGCAGTAGGGACTAAAAACGTCTATTGCAAAAGTGCCTACCTTCATCGCCCACCTGATATTATTATTCACAAAACGAGCTCAAGTCAGGTAATACACACATTGATAATTACAAATAATGTTACCAAAAGAATATAATTCCCGCAAACTATAATATTTTAAAAGTAACGTTGGGGAGAATTTTTTTCGGGAAGTAGGAAATTTGAATCGTTCTTTCTTCTTTCAATTAGATCGTTATGAAAATTTTTATATATTTTCATATTAAAAACGTAAAATTGTGGCGAACATGACAAGTGAATGACTGATTAATTTTTATCTTTGATAAGAATGATCTTCAATATTCAAGCTGTAATTTGAAGCATATTCCAGATTCCATAAAGCACTTTCCAGAGAATAGTTTGTCAGATAAAATTTTGATTATTTCGTAAACAACTACATTCTAATTAGCATCAATCGGCAAACGAATTCATGGCGCACTTGCCTTTGAACAGCTACTGAATCTGTTACATACCACAACGTGACTACTACCTCATACATTGAGACATTAGGTGAAATTACGTATAAGCGCTTGTCGCCGGATCTTCTCATTGGGTCGCGTTTCCGATCCGGTGGTAGATTCTGCGAAGCACTGCTCTTGCTAGGGTCAGTGTTAGCAACACTCCGGTTTGGCCCCGTGAGCTCACCTACACACGTTAGGGCAAAGCTGAAATAGCCTCTCAAGGCTATCGACATAGGTAGGGGAAAAAAAACGACATGCGCTAACATTAATTAAACACTTAATAAAAATGATTGTTAAACGTGAATCAAATTAAATACCCAAAATGTTTGTATTTTTTCATTTCTAAGCTGGTATCCTCAATCGGCATTCACACATACGCATACGAAAGAAGGTGACTCAAAACCGGGTCGTAGCGCTCGCACAAACTTCGTTGCGATTGCAACAGCCAATCACATTTCCAGAATGTTATCGACGCGCATGCGGTCAATGACGTGTCTTCGTCGGCCTATATAACCGGCGGCTCAACTAGCACTACGAACATTTTGTCCGACAAAATTCAAAGTAACACTGTCAACGCGACGTTTCCGTTGTGATTTCTGTATTTAATATTAATACCAAATGCCAAACGTAAATATGTCAGAAGCATTCTTTGACGAATACGACTACTACAATTTCGACCACGACAAGCACATTTTCACGGGCCACGGTGGTAAGCAGCGCACCAAGAAAGAAGCGTCTGAACACACCAACCACTTCGATCCGTCCGGGCATTCGAGAAAGATCGTCACGAAACTCATGAACGCCGAGCACAACAAGAAGACTTCAAACACCAAACACTAGATGGATTGCTGATCAATAGACAACTATGGCTAGCAGAAGGACTTTTGAGTTGCCAAACGAAAGGAGGACGCTATTGCGGATACCCGAGGAGTGTTCGGGTGGATGCTCGTCTCAGAGATCGATGGAACATCCAAGGCGTTTTTTGCTCACACAAAATTTCTACTTCGCCCACTCACAGAGGCTGCGATTTAGAACGGGACAACGCCACAAATGAGCCAAGCAGTAAGTCGGTATATTTTGGACGTAACACCGTTCCAGTGTCTGATCTCGAATAATGGGCTCGTGAGCCCGGAACTGCTGTGTTATTATTCCTAGTAAAATTATTATATGTTTAATTTATCTCTCCGAGATACTCAATGGACTGTAATAATTAATTTTAAGACTAATAAATTATAGTTACATAAGATGTGTTTATTATTGATCTCTTGGAGCGGTATGGGCGGCGGCGGCGAGGTCGTTGCCGTGTGCGCGCCTCGCAGATTAGGTACTATTAGAAACGCCAACTGGCCTATGTTTATACACAAAGGTAACCTTGAGTGAAGACTGCAGACAGCGAGGTAGCTGGCCTTGTCGCACTGTTTATCATCGCTACGATACTCGATCAAACTGCGTCGTAGAAAATACAAACGTGTTTCCAGCGGTGGAAATGTATTATGTTCATAAACAAAAAAGACAAACTAACCGAAAATTAATAAACTCATATTTTTGTATCTTATTGGAATATGAAATTCCAGGTGTGTTCGCCAACAACGGCGATAAAACACTTGCATCTTTGTAAAACAAAAACAATAGCATTTCAATAACACAGCTGCAGCTATTACAAAGTAATATTTAGATTAATAAAGTAACAAACACATATTACCGACACATACACAATTGGATAGGTACATAATGGAACGTATCAATAGTTATTTACATATCTTAAAAACATCGCACCATTCACTTTAGTTATGTTGTACTATGTTAGTACAAGTTATTTTCATCTAGGTTTAAATTCCTTATGAGGTAAATTGAATTCAGCTACATGAGTACTAAAGTTGAACTGTTTACATCAAGAAAAACAATTTTTTACCCTGTTTTAGTCTCCCCTTCCCAAAAATATAAATATCTGATATCTGTCGATATCAATATGTGTTTGAACATACGAACATTGGAATTGAAATACGAGATATTGAATTAGAGTTATTGAGTAGTTTAGAATTAAAATGTTCGATTTAATAATATAAAAGTCTTCATTCTATATTACTCTAATTCTACTAATTGTTCTAAGCCTTCCCGTTGCTTTTGCTACATTATTTAGTTTCTAAAAATAATGGATTTGTTAATATTTTAGCTCGAAATTTATCAATCATTTTACCTACTTTTTTAGCAATAATAATTTTTACTTTTTAACTTAGAATTATACTTCTATATATCTTATCTCTATATACATTAGGTATATATCAAATTAACCTAAAAACTAAGTTTGAAAGCTATAGAACAGACATAAAATAGTGAAGTTAAGAAAAAGTTGGATAAGCCCATCCACTATAAAGTCAAATAAGCTACATAACGGTAGGCAGCGGCTTGGCTCTGCCCTGGCATTGCTGACATCCATGAGCGACGGTATTATAACCACTCACCATCACGTGATGATGAGCCACTAACAAAAAGCCAATAAATTCCCAGTGAATAGTATAGTGTTAGTAAACATTGTCTTATGTAAACATGAGGTACGCAGTTATTTCGAGAAAACATATTTAAATTTATCGGTAAATAAATGGGTGCCGTGAGTCATTTTCTGTTAATAATATCGTAAAGAGTATCGGTTTAAGCTTAGGTGTATTAAGTCACAATTTAAATGAAATTTTATTGATGGCCGGACGTGTCGTGAGCCCGCATGTGTAGTAAACACCATCCTGCTAATTTTGCAGACATTAGTTTCGGTTCAAAGAGCAGGACAGCCGTTATAATGCACAATAACATTGAAATTTCAACCTTCTAACTCAAAACGGCTCGCAGAATTCACATTGTGATATCTATGAGCTCTGGGAACTACTTAACACCAAACGGATCGTGAACTAGTTCACCTATTTCTGCAATAAACTAATTAAACGTTTTTATTTACTAAAATTGATAATTTTGCCTTAATATACTTACTAGATATTTATAAGACTATGTGTTTTAATGCAACTTTTTTACACCTATATACATATAATGTATATATCTATAAAGACATAATATTTCGAAATAGACAGATTTTTTTTATCCTACCTAAACTGATAGCCTTGAGAGGCCATTTCAGCGTAACCTTAACTAGTAGGTGATTATGGTAGGCAGCGGCTTAGCTCTGCCCCTGGCATTGCTGACGTCCATGAGCGACGGCGACCACTTACCATCAGGTGGGCCGTATGCTCGTCTGCCTACAAAGGCAATAAAAAAAAAAAAAAGGTGAGCTCACGGGGCTCAAACCGGAGTGATGCTAACACTGACCCTAGCAACAGCAGTGCTTCGCAGATAGACTGGATCAGTATAAGTGGGCTTCTTATACATACTCCAGGGTTGCCAGGGACAGCATATGCCCAATAGAAAAAAGACGGAGCTTAGTTGATATAAAACAACCTGATGAAATATCAACCCACTCGCGTATTCCGCATATTTTTCATGTTCCTATTTATTTACCGCGTATAAAATATTTAGGTCGGTTTCCTTGGCACTAATAAAACTAGGTAAATGAAGTCTCGAACCGGCTGATATAAATAGGAAAGAGCGAGAAAAGCTTGCATTGCATTTAGAAATAGAATATCCATGTCACTAACAAAACAAAACAAAAGGTACAAACCGGAATTTAACGTAGGCAGTCCAAATATCATCCTTATATTCATGAAAAAACAAGTGAAATTGCCGTGCAACGATATAGTCATAATAGATGAATACACAAATAGAATTTAACAAATTTGCGTATTAATTAATTTGACAAAATAAAAGCAGACGTTTTCAGAAACTATAAATATTGATGAGCATATTATTTATTGCTTGCGTAGCTTTTCTTTATAAATGTTTTTGTAGGCACTGACGTCAACAAACTATTGGTGACTTTGTATATTTTAAATATAACATATCTAATTATGTATCTGATTCTTACGAAACTTTAAATGAATAAATAATCGTTTAAAAAAACTAACAAAATACGCTTTTATAGAAAATCCAACTAAAATATTGGAAAATAAATTTTAATAAATTTGAATTAAAAATAGTGTAAGAAAAAATGATTTTATTGTAAAAAAAAGCGTGGAGTGCATGGTATAAGTAGTTATAAATATTTTATGAACAGATATGAGTAGAAGGGTTATTTTGATAATATCTTGAAAAGCACCCCACGCTTTTTGACAATAAAATCACTTTTTCTTACACTATTTTTAATTCAAATTTATTAAAATTTATTTTCTATTTTTAGTTGAATTTCAATTTTTTCAAATTTTTTTTATTATTGAATTGTCATCGGTCTTGAATAAGTATACCAAATTTCGAGTTAATCCGACGTTTTGAAGGGGGTCAAAATCATGTTCAAAGATTCCGTTACAAACATACATACACGTCTGAAGCTAATAAAAGCGTATTAATAAAATGGAATGTTTTCAATAGAGAAATACTGCTGAAGAATGGTTCGGCAGTGGATGCAGCGATCGCCGCCATGTTCTGCAACAGTCTTCGGAATCAGCAGAGCATGGGGCTGGGGGGTGGATTCTTCATGACCGTTTATATTAAAGAAGAGGAGAAGGCGTACACCGTGATAGCCAGGGAGAAGGCTCCTGCCGCCGCTACTGTTGACATGTTCAACGGAGACTTCACAAAGGCTTCTAAAGGTATGCTATCATATTAAAATGAAATCGTTTCCGTTGAAAAATCGAAATTCGACCATAATCACTGGCATTTAGAATCATTTACATATTAAATTTTATTCTTTATTTCGTCGTTTTGTTATCACTGAAGAAAACGGAACTGGATTATTTTGAAAAATATCTTTACCAGTTCCTTGAAATGAAACAATTTACGTGAACGAAAAATTACTAATATCGTGAATCAGAAACAATAGAATCAACTTGTGAAATCATTTTGACACAGTCCATGTATTTTAATGTAGTCACGAAGATTATACGTGACTCAGAAATATTAATGAAGCGATAAAAAAAATTTTAACGAATTTCTAGATAAGAGTAAATTGTGTAAGAAACACGTTTTTCAGAATGATTAGTATCGTTCGTAAATCAGATATTTAAAACAATATTTCGTTATCATCCCTTCGATTGTCTATATACTATATATGTATATGTACTATATATACTATGTTATATTTATGTACTATATTTAACTTTGGAGTGACATAGGTCACAGAGCATCACCCCATTTCTTCACGTGGTTGTACAATTGAGAATGCGACCTCATGTGTCAAAGCGGGTGGCATAATTCACGTCGTGATGTCCAAGGTAACCGGAACCCCAAACGAGTATTGAGGTCGTCTTCCTAACCAGTACAATAATGTAAAACAAATGCTTTGTTATTAACACTGTGTTTGACCCAAAAAAATATAACGTTATCAATGAATAATAAAACCAAATTATCACCGTAATCATTCCTTTTCAATACGATTTTAGGTATGAAATAATCATGTGCTTAATATTATTTGTTTTTATGTTATTGTTCTGAACTAGAACGAACACTATTTAAAGAAATATTGACTTAAAAAGAGGTGCCGTTCGAAAATAAATTATATTTTTTTGTGATTGAAGTACTATTATTTACAATTACTAATAATGTATATAATTTGGAATGATTTTGCGAGGACACTTTATATAGTGGAAAAAAAGAATTATTTTTCGTAAGACATTCAGTTTTATTTTTAGTTTTTCTCATTATTACTTAATCAAACTTAAACTTGAACTTATGAAATTAGTGAGTAATAATTAAACTACAATCTTTTACTGACTTGTTTCTCTAAAACTGTAGATAATAATTTCTATTAAGTACGCATACTTATGTCAGTTTTGTTGAATTTCAGATTTGTTACTCTCTGAATTGATTAATTTGATATTTGAGTAATATCATATTGACTAAAACCCTAGTCTAGGCCTAGTCTAGTCCTAGGTAATCATATTATTCAATAAATAATACATTTTCCTTTTCCCGCACAGTCAATTATTGAATCAACATCCGACATGTTAATGTATGTGAACATTAAAATCCAAATTATTACATGAAATATACTAATGTATATTGCTACCTACAAGGCTATTCTTCCTATTATTTTGATCATGTTCTTAATTATACTTACAATTACATACTTAAAATTATTTTCGCATTTTAAGAGAAATGCAATAATTAATATCTTTTGTGCTTTTTACTAAATGATCAAGACACAACTTTGCGCTGTTATAAATCATAGGCAAATCAGAGAATTTTGAATATATAATATTAATATTTTTAAATATTAAATTAAATTCATAAAAAATTGCACGTCCTTATTCTGTTCACAGAGTCCGATGTCTGTTTGAACACGATGTGTGCTTTTCGGAAATTTTATTGAATTCAATCGTACATTGACATGATTTATTTACTAATAACAAAAGACAAAGACACAAGTGTTATTCGAAATACGAATGACAAATTATTTTGCGGAACTGATTAATATGTAGGTATTCAATATTGAACTCTATGTCGTCTTATTTAGTTTTGATGTTACGTTATAGATGGTGTGATAGGATTAAGCTGCTTATTTCGGTATCAGCAAAGTTTAACAAAATCGGGAAAATGCATGTAGGGTTCCGTAGTAGATTAATGTTCACGATTAACATTTAATCGTAATGATTAATCTTTCATACTACAAAAGAAAAAAAAAAAGAAAAAAGTGTTCGTTTATAAGCGACACCACTTCAGAATGACTACGAATATACATTTTTTTCATTGCTCAAATTCGGTTATTTGAAAAGATCAAAATACTGTTTTTTTCTTCTTTAGAAAATACAAAATCATCCAATAAAATCACATACGATTATTACTGAAATCGGTCAGAACATCAGCGTCAGCTAGTTCTACAGGTTCTACTATACCCGTTAGTAATTATTATTTTAAAAGCAATGTTAACTATTTCAAACTGGTACAACCCGATCGGACTCCGCTGTCACTGTCGATAATTGTAGAAAAACATGAGCTTTCTATCGTATGATAATGTCATTAGGACGAAGCCTACCTTGAGGACCAACAGCATATGTATAAGTATGTACTTTCATTTATGTTGAATAAATTTTTTTAGATTTGATTTTGATTTGATTTGATTTGATATGAATTAGAAACGTCTATGCAACAAACATACATACAAACACTATTTTTTATTGATATATACAGGTACATTTCGTGTAATCTATGAAGGCTAAGAGATACTTCTGTCTGATAAATCTTCTGATTCGATCTAATCTTAACATTACAATAGCGTTCCAATTTAAAATATGATAACTATATAAATATAATTATAATAACTAAGATTAGGATGGAATCCCAGGTGGTGCTGGCGTTCCGGAAATAATTCGATTGCCATAACTATCGACTAAAAGGGTATATTACTTATAGGGGTATTTGTAACTTTGTAATGTCCATAAAATTTGAAGTCGTCGTGGCCTAAAGGATAAGACGTCCGGTGCATTCGTGTGTAGCGATGCACCGGTGTTCGAATCCCGCAGGCGGGTACCAATTTTTCTAATGAAATACGTACTCAACAGATGTTCACGATTGACTTCCACGGTGAAGGAATAACATCGTGTAATAAAAATCAAACCCGCAAAATTATAATTTGCGTAATCACTGGTGGTAGGACCTCTTGGGAGTCCGCATGGGTAGGTACCACCACCCCGCCTATTTCCGCCGTAAAGCAGTAATGCGTTTCGGTTCGAGGGGTGGGGTAGCCGTTGTAACTATACTGAGACCTTAGAACTTATATCTCGAGGTGGGTGGCGCATTTACGTTGTGGATGTCTATGGGCTCCAGTAACCACTTAACACCAGGTGGGCTGTGAGCTCGTCCACCCATCTAAGCAATAAAAAAAAAAAAAAAGATTATAAGTGTATTTGTAACTTTGTAATTTTCATAAAATATGTCATAGTTCATAATATCCGTGATTAACTCTGACTTAATTTAGAAATAACATTGCTATAAACGAAAAACATTAAAATACCTACAATGAGCTAACTTATCACTAAAAGCAATCTCTTCCATACGACCGTTAAATAGCCAAGAAAGGAAAGTATGTATTTCAGATCTAGTTATAGATGCAGTAATTCATAATAATAGGCCAAATACAAGATCGCACTCTTAATTTAAATAGTATGCAAGTTAAAATCATGTAAATACATGCGTAATTATACGTATTTAAATATTTTCCAATAGATCTTTATATTAATACCTGAAGCAAAAACTTTGTATCCCTTTTTACGAAAATTGCGCGGACGGAGGAGTATGAAATTTTTCAGACTTATAGAGAATATAGAGAAGAAGTGCACAATGCTAATATTTTTTTTAAATAGTGCATAAAAGATACATTAAATCAATAAAGAAAACATTACACACACTACATACCATGTATTTGACGCACACACGCATGCATACTATTTATTTTGTTCTTGACGTCCGTTGTCAAATTGAGAATATATTAAATATTGTTTATCTTTGTTAACATTTTTTATAGTGTAGTTTTGGCGAAATTTGTGATTATAGAAGTATAAAATACAATCATAACAGTGTACAAACTTAAAATTCTTATTAATTATAGTCGAATTTCGACTACTGCGGGACCTCTAGTAACTACAAATGTACGTAAACAACACAGCTCATATCTATACTATACCTATATAAATACTTCCATACCATTTCTAATACTATAAATGTGAAAGTTTGTTTGTTGTCCTTCTTCCACGTCGAAACAAAGCAATAGCATGACATGGTTTTTTTTAAAGTATTAGTTTTGGATCGAGATAGTGACATAGGCCTTTTACCCCAAAAAATATTTCAATATCACGGGAAACTACGTGGACACTTTTCCTTCTATAACCACGCGCACGAAGCCAAGGATAACAGCTAGGGTAACATAATTGACACTTTTACCTCATATCTCAAGGTAGGAGACGGTTTCCACGTGATATGATGTGTATATCTGTTGTAATCACTTCGGATCCTCACGTCATTTCGGCTCCTCCCGGTTCACTATTGGTGGTTTTAGGTACCTCAAGCACAGGTCACTGTTTCCGTCGAACCCGTCGCTTGCGACGAAGGGTTCACCGAGCAAATTGACAGACACAGTCCACTGAGTATCTCGCCGGATTCTCAGTGGGTCGCGTTTCCGATCTGGTGGTAGATTCTGCGAACACTGCTCTTGCAAGGGCTTGTGTTAGCAACATCCTCAGGTTAGAGCCCCGTGAGCTCACCTACTCGCCCGGTTACCCGGTACTGGCATAGGCCCCAGGTTAACAGCATAGGTAAAAAAACCACCAATTACAAGACTCCTTATTAATAATAATTTATAGGGAGCATCAACTAAACAGTTTAATAAACCATATAAATACATAAGTAAATGTATACTTCGCGTGTAAATAAATAAGTAAATATAACAATTTAGCCACTACCAAGCCTAAGTCTGAAATCTGAGCTCTTGTTACAGTCAAACGTCACGGATTTCTCCAAAAAGCTTTCTCTCGGATCTGGTTCGTACCGATATCTACACGGTTTCACCAGTCGTCGTATTCAGCTAATGCGCCTCGAGGCTGAGGTTGGCAATTGTGCCAATGATTATCTCTCTACCGATATCAGACGGTTGTATTCTATTCTTTTGAATCATTGTGCGATCTGAACTTGACAGATGACTCTATAGACTTTGTTGCGGTGTAATTGTCGCCCGAATTAGACATACTTACATTTTTTTTATTGCCCTTGTAGACAGACGAGCATACGACCCACCTGAGTAGCCGTCGTGAGGTTCGTGGTTACCGTCGCCCATAGACTTCAGTAATGCCAGGGGCAGAGCCAAGCCGCTGCCTACCGCTTAATACTCTCCACAAGCCTCTTTTAAAGAAGGACATGTCATAGCGCTCAGGAAACACCGTGGAGGGGAGCTCATTCCATAGCCGGATGGTACGTGGCAAAAATTATATACAAAAATATAGACACTGTTAATTAGTCTTCCTGCCTATGGATTTTCTAACGGTTATCTGGAATTGGTTGTCTGCACTCGTCTCTGATGATAAGGCCGTTTTAGTTTTAGCAGTAATGCGTTCTGATAAGAAGGGAAGGGCAGTCGTTATACTAGAACTCAAGGTTGGTGATTAGGCGACATTAACTTTGTTGATGTCTATGAGGTCCGGTAAACACTTCACATAGGCGGGCTATGAGCTCTTCATCCGACTAAGCATTAAAAAAAACCAACCGAACAGAATTCATTCCCACTAAATAAAATCGCTTTTCTTTATTCTTTTTTTATTTGCATTACGTTTCGAGAATTCAATTTCCCTACCTACCTGATCCTGGAATTAATTCCCGTCTTTTGTGTTTCTCGTGAGCCTTGAAGTGTCTACGAGAAATGGCACTACACGCACGCCATCCCATATAAAAAAAACGGACCGTGTAAAACCCTTATGGCGTATAGGAAATTAAGAACAAATATTTAATATTATTCCAGACCAAGAAGATCTATAGATAACTAGCCATAATACGACTTTCATAAATGCATTAAAACATTCACTCATGTATCTCGCGTAAGTTTCATGCATAGAGTATTTACGCAAATATTTTGTCCTGGATCCCGTAAGCTGTCAGAATCTTGACGGATCGTTCATTCAATTCGAACAGGTCATGCCTGAGATTATTTCCCAAAATAACGACTGTCAAATCGAGATTTGACTAAATGCAGTCACTCATCAGCTTAAAGTTTCATTAAAAATTGGATTACTTTGTTAATGTTGCACCTGATTATTTTTATACCTAGTATTTACCTAGACCCGGTATCAATATTAAAGATTTTATAATCAATCGAAATCTAAAATTACATTTAAATATTAACCGGTTTAAAATTAAACATTAGCTATCAATTTAATTTGAATAACATATTTTGTTTATTATCACTGATTATTTTAAATGGTACGACGCAGTTTGTTTAATCAGTTCGTTTGGCTATTCTTTATTATTGACGAACAAAATACCTTTTTCGAAAATGTCGAGTTCATGATCTCATTCATTTTCTTTTATTTTTGCTGTATTTTTTGTGTTAAGTTATTCAATAGCATCACGTACAACTAGACAATCAAAGCACTACTTTTTGTTTATCTCGTACAGTACCTCACGATAAATATTGCACATCGACCTTCGGAAAGGACTCAATATCCGGGAATATTAGTATCGCACAACCCTATTTGAACAACGACTGACAAACGTCACATAGTCAATACTGTCTTTACCATAAGGGCACACGGGGTCCGTGCCCAGGGTCCCCATTCTCAGGGGGCCCCGAAGGCCGGACAATTTCTCCCACACATTTATTCGCAAAACATTTTTGTTGGGCACATTACACTTTATATCGATGACTGCGCCTATTCTGTACTAATTAATAATATTTCCGAACGCATCCTACCTAATTTACTCAGTACACCATCTAGCGATCACGATAACGGTTTCCGTTATCGTGATCGTAACCAAAAAACCAGCAGCATTCTAATATCACTAACGACATATTATATCATACTGTATTTGATTGCCTATAATAAATGGTCATACTCAGTAAAAAAATGTTATTATAATTCGCTTTTTTTACTTTCCAAAAGGGCCTCAAATTCTTGTGTGCCCAAGGGCCCCAGCCTAATTTAAGACGTCCCTGCACATAGTATGCGACAGACATAACGCTCTAATAAGTCGAAATTAGCCTATTATGTCTTTCCGAAGGTCGATGTTAATATTGCATTTATCCCCCGGTACTGTAGTTAAACAGCGCCTTAATTTGAATACAGGTCCGCTAGCCGTTGGAGTTCCCGGGGAGCTACGTGGTATGTGGGCAGCACACAGGCGCTGGGGCAAACTACCCTGGGACAGTTTAATCGAGCCAACCCTGCAGATATGCAACGAGGGCTTCCCACTTTCCAAACCCATGTACGACGCCTTGGACAAAGCACGAGCCTACGTGAAGAATGATGTCAATTTGGCGTAAGTCCACATTACATTGAGGAAAATTAAACACTATAACGCGCACATCCCTATTTGTTCTTCTCGTGGGTCTTGGAAGGGCATGCATGCGAGCGGAGCAGCAGAGACGCCACCGGCCGACCACGAAGATTGGAGAAAGGAGGTTGTCCTACAGTCGATATAGCACCATCGAACTATGCCTTACATCGACCTCATTGAAAACTATACACCTTAAACTGGGATAGTTTCGTTCTAACACTGAATTACATAAATATTTTTTTTTTTATCCTCTCATAGCGTATTCTTAATCAAATTATGTAAATATATGAGCTCACTTAACATCAGGTTCATGGCTCCTGGCCAGAACAACAACAACAACAACAGAAGTAAACGCCCCCGTCTATCTTCGGACATCAAGTCGAAGCTGCAATACGGTCGAAAAAGTGACTACCTGCCGTTCTAACGAGTACACATGATAATTACTTCGCATATTGCAAAATTTCATACCATTAGTACGGTACGTAGTCCAGCTGCGAATGGTGAAACAGGGAGCAGTTAGACGAGCTGACTAAGAATCTCTTGTACCATAGACTTGTTTCGTATGATCTTATAGAGTACTAGCTGTACCCGTCCGCTTCGATGGGCATTTAAAATTAACATTATTATTTCTCACCCCCACAAAGATTATCATCATTAACGCCCCCGCAACCGGTGTAGGGAGTCCAACACTCATATAAATATTAGCCTATCCATTAAGTACATGTATTTTCTACATGGATACCGAGTTTCAAGTCAATCGGATGCATTGTTCAGTAGTTATAACGGAACATCCGTAAAAAACCACTGTAGATTTACATATTAGTATAGATATTTCGCGTAATGTGTTAAAATGTTGCCTTTCGATCACTTGTTTCATTGACTACGATCAGAAAAAGTCTTGAACGATATTGAGTGAACGGTAAGTAAATAAACACAGTGGTATACTAAAATGGATTCTCCCTTCAGGAAAATGTACTACAGTTCTTCAATGGAGAGGTTTCATAGACCAGGAACAATCGTGAAGCCAAGTGAAGCCCTTTGCAATACGTTCAAGAGGATAGCCAAGAACGGCGGAGACGACCTGTACAACGGCACTTTGGCTGAAGACTTCGTGGAAGACCTGAAAAGGATCGGAAGTATTATCACCGCTGAAGACATGAGAAATTATGAGTAAGTTTTTATTTTCCTTATAACGCGGCCAACGTGAATCTGTAGTGTCACTTAACACTAAAAGGTCACTCATCATCAATTAATATGTATAATCATGAGAGTCTCTCTTCACTGGAGCTCATTAAATAAAATTGGTAAACATAGCATTAAAATTTATGAACATATTTTTTTACGATAAAACCAAATACGTAAACAAAATAGTTAAAAATTTTTGAAGTTTTTATTAAGCTATTAATAAAAATCGGGTAAATACGTGTCGTATTAGACACTAATGGATTACCGTGTTTGGGACAAGCGCCTGAGTTTTAAATTCAAATATAAAGATCAATCAACACGAAAAAGGACTTATTACTAAATAACAGGTTCCGATAACATACTAAGTATTTTAAAAATTTACACATTATAAGTACTATTTGTACGTACGTGTCTTCAGTTTGCAATGAAACATTGCAAAGCTATTGACGGTACTTGAGGGATATATTATTTATTTTACATTACTATCCACGAGTAGAAGAGTGCGCATAGTAGCCAGTATTGAATGCTTAATAGAGACATTTAGTTGATTATCATAGGTATCGCAATGTGAATGCCTCCACCCACGATGGGTGATGGGCTAGAAATTGTATTATTATCGAAAGGCAAATTATTAACGCCCCAGCTAAACACCAATTGCTATTGAAGGTCATTTTAAAAACTATTACTAAGTTTATTAAATCCTTGTAAGCATCGCAATCGTAACCATTAGATATAATTGAAAATCTAAACAACACAATAAAAACGTTGTTTTTTTGCCATCTTGGAATGTATCCCTTACAATCATATTAATTAGCGTTTAGTGTATTCGCGACATATTCACGGATAACAATACGCTCAAAGCTTTTACTGTATTTATCAAGTACAACGTACTTTTCAAACACTGAAAGAACGTCTGTTTTATGGTAGAAATAGGCAAGATTGTCATTGTACAATTTTGGAGGTTTACAACAAATCAGTGTATTTCATGTCATTCAGTCAGTCAGCCATTTCATTATGTCTACGTTATCGGATAGTTAATGAATATAGCTATAATGACAAAAAACTCAAAACATATCTAGTTTAATAATAAAGTATTGATGTTCGTCGTAATTTGTTCTGTCCAATCGCTAGGTTCGTTAAAAGAATATTTACACCTTTACCTGTTATCTATACATTAATACGTGAAGCAAAAACTTTGTATCCCTTTTTACGAAAATTGCGCGGACGGAGGAGTATGAAATTTTCCACACTTATAGAGAATATAGAGAAGAAGTGCACAATGCTAATTTTTTTTTAAATTATGCATAAAAGATATATTAAATCAATAAAGAAAACATTACACACACTACATACCACGTATTTGACGCACACACGCATGCATACTATTTATTGTCAAACTTTTGTTCTTGACGTCTGTTGTCAAATTGAGAAAAAATTAAATATTGTTTGTCTTTTTTAATATTTTTATACTGTAGTCTTGGCGAAATTTGTGATTATAAAAGTATAAAATACAATCATATTAGTGTACAAACTTACAATTACAATTAATTATAGTCGAATTTCGACTACTGCGGGACCTCTAGTTAAGTTTTAATAAGTGATTAATTTCTAATTCTCAACAATTTCTTATGACCTAATTAGAAGATATTTTAGAAAAGCCAAGGAAAAACAAATTATAAAATTGCGTTAAAACCATTACATAATATAAACAAACATTACATAAAATAAAATACAACGCAAAAAAAAAACAATAATAATCATGCAAAGCTAATCTTAAACTTTAATGATTGATCGCATTTAGCATACTTTGTAAACAACAAAAAATGTGATATGAAAAATAACAAAATACTGTTAAGATAACGTTTACATAAACACGTTATCAAAATATTAAACGCGCGGACATTTTATAAATATTTATTTCAGTTTGTTTTCAAATAATAAAGTAATTAAATGTGACGAAATCGACTGCGATAAGAAGTTTTTATTAACCTGTTTTATTTGTGTGATCATTGTCTGCATATAACATTTAAATATTATATGTTTTCGTAAGCACGGTAAATTGTAATGTAAACGCCTTCTTGCTACATATATGTCTTTATTTTATTTATTTATTGTTATTTTTTATTATTGTTACTAGTGGTAGAACCTCTTGACCACTTGTGATGTGAGTCAATTATGCCTGTATGTACTTTTTTGCCAAATAAATGTACATAAAAAATAAGCAGTCAAAGGGGAATGCCAGGTCGCCATAGTAATTTAGGCCCACAGTGCACATTTATACAGACTCATGGTAATAATAGCAGACAATGGTAATAATTAATTAGTAAAAGAAGTGATTTAGAAAAAAGTTGGCATTTTAAAGTTATTCAATAATTGTATCTCTCGTCAATACATGTTATATAAAATGTCCCGTATGTATTCCCGGGTATTCCCATTGTGTTTCATAGAGCACAATGTCATTTTCTAAATAATTTTAAACAAAAATCTCTTTTAAACAAATTGTATCCAATTAAGATGCTATAGAGAGTGATATAATTAAATTGGATTTTAAAAAAACAGGTATTTCCTAGTAAAATAGCTACGCACCAATATATGTACATACAATATATGTACATACATATATTGGTGCATATAGATGAAGTAAAAAGATTGTGTACTGTTTACTTACTATCCGCCGAAAACAAGGTAATTTAAAACTAAACTTCCAAATTCAAATTTAAACACTAATACAATAAATTTCTCAAATGTACCGACTTAGTAAAATGTCATTGAACTGCGCCGAAATGCTTACAAAATATATTTTTTGTTGTAAGTATATAATATTATATTGAGGTTATGAGTGCGTTCAATTGCTAACAAACTTCATTCGTCAGTAAACTATAAAGTCAAAGAAACAGCTTACCGTTTATATAAGAACATTGATACAATTTAATAACTTTTTTAACCTTAGTATGTCGATCTTAGTATTACGATAGATAGTTACCATAGGAATACTATGGGTACTTATAATGTCATTAAAACAGCCAAAGCATCGAAAAGCATCATTTTAATTACGGACATGTATAGGTATACTAAAACCTGGTTTTTCTAGCGATAGTACAGTAGACAAGACTCATTTGAGCCATCAATTTCGTGTCTCAAGTTGGGCGGTCATTGACATTGATATTTTCATTCATGTATATGGACTCCGGTAACCACTAAGAGCAAGTAGACCGAAAATTCATTCTACATTCGATATAAAAAAAAAAAAATATTGCTTAGATTGGTGGACGAGCTCGCAGCCCACCTGGTGTTAAGTGGTTACTGGAGCCCATAGACATCTACAACGTAAATGCGCCACCCACCTCGAGATATAAGTTCTAAGGTCTCAGTATAGTTAAAATACATGACGTAAAATACATGAAAAATATATTTACATGCATGTTACACGAGCATGTAAAACATGACGATATGTTATTCCATATTTCATCATAATTCTATTAAACTGCCGGAACAATGCTAGTTCATTTTCACAATAAAATCATAATAACGTTTTCAAACAATGAATACGCAATGAATACAACTGTTCAAAAACAAACGATTACTCATTAATACAATGTTAGAACAATTGTTTTTGTAAACGTTAACAACTGCAAACTCTAATAACATTGTATTTTTTTATCTATATATTAATACGTGAAGCAAAAACTTTGTACCCCTTTTTACGAAAATTGCGCGGACGGAGGAGTATGAAATTTTCCACACTTATAGAGAATATAGAGAAGAAGTGCACAATGCTAATATTTATTTTTAAATAATGCATAAAAGATACATTAAATCAATAAAGAAAACATTACACACACTACATACCATGTATTTGACGCACACACGCATGCATATTATTTATTGTCAAACTTTTGTTCTTGACGTCTGCTGTCAAATTGAGATTAAATATTGTTTGTCTTTGTTAATATTTTTTATAGTGTAGTCTTCGCGAAATTTGTGATTATAGAAGTATAAAATACAATCATAATAGTGTACAAACTTACCATTCCAATTAATTATAGTCGAATTTCGGTTACTGCGGGACCTCTAGTTATTATGAAAAGAGGACGAACTCAATTCATTCTATTTGCTGGTAGTCAAACAGGCTATTGCAGCTACGCCCAGACGGATCGGTGTACTGATGAGCTCAACCTGAGAGTATTTGCTAACACTAGCCCTTGCAAAGAACAGTGCTTCGCAGAATTTACAAACGGATCTAAATCGCGACCCACTAAGCAGATCCGGCGAGAAGCTCAATGGGCTGTGTCTATTGAAAAAAACCTTGATGAATTTTTAATTAACCTTCCGTGATATTCAAAGAACCACGCCTAAATACAAATTTATTAACTATTGCAATAGTACAACAACTGTAGGGCGCTAATTTCGATGGCAAAATGCTATTTAACTATTTATATTATGTAGATTGCAAAACGTTTTTTTTTATCAATGAAAATTCCATTCCACATTTAAAGCCAGAACTTTATGGTATTTTCTTTGAATTCGCGAATCGTAGACATGATTAAAACTGCCTATACGGCTTAATCTCGCGTTTTAATCCTTTGACTGCCGTGTAGGTCACCGGTGCCCTACACGGCGTACTCAAGTAATTACGTCGATTTCTGTTACTAAGCGCCTGGATTGCTTAACTTTGCTTTCTTTTATTTTTAATGTATGTTTGTTTTTATTACTTAGATGGGTGGACGAGCTCACAGCCCACCTGGTGTTAAGTGGTTACTGGAGCCCATAGACGTCTACAACGTAAACGCGCCACCCACCTTGAGATATAAGTTCTAAGGTCTCAGTATAGTTACAACGACTGCCTCACCCTTCAAGCCGAAACGCATTACTGCTTCATGTCAGAAATAGACGGGGTGGTGGTACCAACCCGTGCGGACTCACAAGAGGTCCTACCGCCAGTAAAAAAGTAATACACTTTTAATTCTCCCAAAAATAAATTATTTCTGAATATCTTCAAATTCGTTTTCCCAGAGTCTACTAAATATTCCGTACAGACTCACAAGACGTAAAACGTAAATCTAGTTTTACTAGGGCACATTACGAGTACGTATAACAGCCTGGCCACGGGACATTCGCCGATACGAATATTCGCGCGGTGCGAACGGCGAAGCGTCTAGCGACTAAAACAAGCGCATAGAAATGTACCTAACAAGCCACGCGCACTGGCGACCGGCGAAGCGACCGGCGAAATGTACCGAGCGAATCGCGCGATGCGGCGGGCGAGCAAAACAAATGCATGAATACGGACGGCGCGAGCCACGGAGTCGAGTGGTAGTCGCGGCGAATAGTGCAGTGATTAAATGAGTTTAGTTGTTTTCGCCGCGAAAAATGAACGCCGAAATTTTTATATTTTTTATTTTATATTTTTAAAGTCGTCGTGGCCTAACGGACGTCCGGTGCAATCGTGTTGAGCGATGCACCGGTGTTCGAATATCAGGCGGGTACCAATTTTTGTAATGAAATACGTACTCAACAAATGTTCACGATTGATTTCCACGGTGAAGGAATAACATCGTGTAATAAAAATGAAATCCTCAAAATTATAATTTGCGTAATTACTGGTGGTAGGACCTCTTGTGAGTCCACACGGGTGGGTACTACCACCCTGCCTATTTCTGCCGTGAAGTAGTAATGCGTTTCGGTTTGAAGGGTGAGGCAGCCATTATAACTATACTTGAGACCTTAGAACTTATATCTCAAGGTGGGTGGCGCATTTACGTTGTGGATGTCTATGGGCTCCAGTAACCACTTAACACAAGGTGGGCTGTGAGCTCGTCCACCCATCTAAGCAATAAAAAAATATTGCTGAAATACTAGCTAGACCAGCTATTTGGAAGTCTAGCCACCCAAAGTATTTCTCGTACTTCTTGTGGAATTCTCCATCTATAGGTATACTCCGATTCTTATTCAAATCATGTACTTCACAATCTTTTCCAAATAATAGGTCCTGAACCAAAAAGCTATTAATTTGTAAGCAATATCGAGATAATTTCGATATAGACATTTCGCTGTCGGACTTCCTTACTAGTCGCGGCGGCGAACGTGAGTACCCGTGGCCTGCAAACGGTGCTGCGCGAATGGTCGCCTCGTCCACCGCTTCGCTGTTCGCACCGCCGATCCCCGTGGCCAGGCCGTAATAATTGATTGTTTTTTTTTAATGGCGATGAAACCTTAACAAAAATTATCGGATTCGTCTTTCCCAGAGTCCACTAGATATTCCGTGCAAAACGTCCTACCATCAATAATAAAACGTAAATCTAGTTTTATTAGAGCACATTACGAATACGTTTTAATAATTGGTTGTTTTTTTAAATGGCGATAAAACGTAAACAAAAATTGTGTGCAGACGACGACAAACAGTGACAACATAAGTAGGTTTTAATCGACCCCAATAAATTATACTAGTAATGGAATATTACCAACCGATATGAAAAGGTCGATAATTTCTTCTTTGCGTCTTCGTTATTACGTTTTAAATTTGATTGCATTATTTCGTACGTGTTTCGATTACCTTACTGGTGGTAGAACGTCTTGAGTCCACACGGGTAGGTACCACCCTGCCTATTTCTGCCGTGAAGCAGTAATGCGTTTCGGTTTGAAGGATAGGACAGATGTTGCACTGTTAAAACTGGAACTTAGAACTTATATCTCGAGTTAGGTGGCGGCATTTACGTCGTAGGTGTCTATGGGCTCCGGTAACCACTTAACACTAGGTGGGCCGTGAGCTCGTCCATCCACCTAAGCATTAAAAAAATAAAAAAACCTCTCTGGACAATTATTAAAACAAATATTTTTGTACCTATGCTTTAACCATCTTTGTGTGAGGATTAAAAACTGTGATTTTACGTAAACAACCAATTTTTAACTGTTCCCAGAAATCCAGCAAACACGTTTTACAATATAGTACATTAACACAATTTAATAAAAAAAAAACAAAATATGTACATCCTGTTGCGAAAGAGAAAACAGAGACACGTAATTTTTAAAATATGTGATATTTTCATTATTTTCCTGCCCTAGTGGGGGAATTTCGTCATGAACAATATCATTTTTATTTTTATTTTTTTTCAAAATTATCCTCATTTATTCTTAAATTCCACGTTTAAAGACTATTTAACATACGGTATATTGCTTAAATGGTATTCTATACTTTAGAACCCGTTATGAAAATGTCGAAAGCTTCCAAAGGCTATTTATGGAAACGCTTTGCCAGAAAAGATTTATAGCGTAGTTATCCGTTTAGCTATATTAGGATTTTAAAAATGAATTTACCACGCAGTCAACGCAAAGAAGCAGTCAGTTCACACTACGTTGGAACATGTGTATCTACTAAAATAAAAATGGAACCGGAACTGAACTAATTACAATTTGCGACAATTTAATTTTATTCTGCGAATGATACAGCGAACGATGGAATTTAAATCAAAACTTCTCCAGCTTTATATCTGTCCTCTTGGACCACAGATATTATCTGTCTTGGACTCAATAAACTCGAAAAACATTACACGGATTTTATTGAAATTTCAGATAGCATAACCATCGATGCCACATTAAATATTTTTCCTTTTTTGAGACCAGGGGAACCCAGTATTACTGGATTACCGGATCCCAGTGAATACCACCACCCGCCTTAAGCATGAAATCGAAATCTCAATTGCATTAAAATTCAAATCTTGAAAGGGAAATACCCGCCTTATGATTTCTCTGCGCTCCGATATCCACAACGTCATGCGTTCTATGAACTCATCCACTTATCAGAGGAAAAACAGATCAATAATTAAATATTTTTTTTCAGAGCTAAAATAACAGAGCCCATGACAGTGCCTCTGGGCAACGGTGATACTCTATACACCCCACCGCCGCCCAGCAGTGGGCTTATTCTCGTGAATATACTTAACATCTTGAGTGGGTACGGCTTCAATGCGGCCAGCATCAATAGCACTGAAAACATGATACTCACTTATCATAGAATAATAGAATCATTTAAATACGCGTACGCGACCCGCACTAAATTGGGCGATATGGAGTTCCTGGATTTGGAAGAGGTAATTCAGTGTTAATATTGTTAAATATTACCAATAAAAATGACCACATTTGAACAAGAATAGCCATTGACAATACATACGTCTAACTATTCAATTGGGGCTTCGACTTCATGTCTTAAGTAGATAAATGCACGTTGATCAGCTGGCGCTTATAGACGCTCCAGTTGACACTAGACAGACCGTAAACTAATTTACCCAATAACAAAAAACAGGCTAATTGTAGCTGAAATTCAGATTTCGTTTTTTCGCATTAAAAGTGTACAATTTCCAAAAATATTCGAAATTGAGTTAATATGCAGAATCATTTGGTATCACCAGTATTTTTCTCATAAATACTGTCAAAAGAGCGTAGTTTAGTTTTTTTGTTTAGTTTACCTATATTTTGACTACTATTAACAAAATTAATACATAATTTTACCTTACTTTAAAAGACAGATAACGTAACTCGTAAAAGATAAAAAATAAATGTTGCAAAGATGATTAATATTAAAAGTATCACATGTTAAACCTTTAAAACCCTCTCCTGTAAAATTAGTAAGTTTTGAGATTATTCAGTTTTAAAGCGAAAAGACGATTTGACATGGCTACTACCACAAGAACCTTTAGGAGGTTCGACATAAAAACTTGGATTTATTCGTGTTCCAGTTAATAAATAACGTTACCAAACCGGAGTATGGTGCGGAAATCCGTATGAAAATCAACGACTCATCGACAAGTAACGATACTGCAACGTACGGAGCTGAAGATTATAATCCTCCCGATTCTGGGACCGCTCACATATCTATCATAGGGACAAATGGGGACGCTGTTTCCGTAACCAGTTCCATCAACTTTTAGTGAGTTTATTTTTACACGCTTTATATTAGCTTCACTTGTATGTATGTTTGTATGTTTGTAACTGATTCCTTGAGACGCGATTTTGACCCACTTTAAACGGCCAGATTCCATTCAAACTTTGTAGATCTATCGAGGAAAGATGACAATTCAGTATTTAAAAAAAAATTGAAAAAAAATATTGAAAAAATTGAAATTGAAGTAAAAAATTAAAAATAAATAATAGCTTAAAAAAACTAACAAAATACGCTATAAAATTCAACTAAAAAATAGAAAATAAATTTTAATAAATTTAAATTGAAAATTATGTAAAAAAATATTTTTTATTGTAAAAAAAGCGTGAAAAAACCGTCACAGTTATTTCGTTGTTCTTACAGCCTTGTAAAATTGTTAAAATTCCGGAAAATATTGACAGCAGCATTAAAACTTACCATGCCTAGTCACAGTCTTGTAATGACGCAACTGCTTTGGTTTCAATGATTTCTTCCAGCCTTCTACACTACTGAGCCAGCCGTAACTGGTGTATTTTATACCATTATTGCACCATGATAACGTGGTATGGTTCCACAGACATAAGCCACAAAATCTGTCGCCAGTTTTACAATTATTAAAAATTTTACCAACTACCAACCCAAAAACAACCAAAGTGTGTAGCATAGCAATACCTCGCCATCTTTGTAATTATATAATAAATGTGGGAAGGTTCATGAATAAAAGCGGATGAATATATCAAAATCCTTTATTTTACTACACAATCACTTCGTACACGTCTTTCTAAAACTTTTTCTTTTCTTCCTACCCTTTCTAACCTTAAACTGCTATCTCTTTCTGAACCTAATAAAATGTTGCCACTGCAACAGACTTAAAGGAACTAAATTTAAAAAAAAAATACTGAAAAAATTTAATAAAAATAACACTCCCCACTTATATATGTATACGTCGGTTTATTCTTTCAGCTACGGTGCTGGCTTTTCGACCCTCAACACCGGCATTGTGATGAACAACGTAATGGACGACTTCTCATCACCTGGAATCATTAATTATTTCGGCTTAAAGCCTTCGCCCGCTAACTTTATAGCGCCAGGCAAAAGACCGTTGTCTTCAATGAGTCCAAGCATTATTGTAGATAAGAATGGAAATGCGAAGATGGTGATCGGTGCCTCCGGAGGAACCAAAATCACAACGGGTATTGCTTTGGTGAGTAGAGTTTAGCAATATTTTTATTTAATTAGGCGTAAGAGTCTAGACATATAGAGAGTCCTGAAATAAACCTGAATACTTCTAACCCAGTACGAAAAATCACGAAGAATATTCAATTGCCTTAGGAAAATAATAATAATTAATCTACGCTCCAGTATAATTAGTTTGCGGCAAAAAATGTAAATAAGAATTAGGCAAACATCACAACCAATCAAGATAAGGATAAAGAAATAAATAAAAATAAGTCGTTCACTATTTCAATGATAATATATTAAGAACATTTAGCGTTTCAAATCACCACAGAACCAATCGACAAATTCTAATATTTTTTATGTAAGTTGAACATCAGTCAGCGCACGTCGAGCAGTGGTCGTAGATTGTAATCGAGATTAATCTAGACGTAAACGATTTTAGGTGACAATGGGCAAGCTATGGTTCGGTCAGACAATCAAAGAAGCCGTCGATAGCCCCCGAATACACCACCAATTGTTTCCTATGAACATCGAATATGAGTACGGAATTATTGAGGTAATGTATTACTTGCCTTGTAAACTACTTACGAATTAAAACACCCTTGAAATTACTTGTCACTTTTCCTACTTCCCGTTTCCTTCTGCTTTGTGTATTTGTGTATTGAAGACAATATTACATATATATAATAATACAACAGGCTGATAATAATTGAATTTTTTTAATGATATTCAAAATGAAAATTATTAAATCTATTGGATTCCAAATATAATTTTAACACTTCTACAGAATTATTGCTTTGTGTAAAATATTTTTTTTTTGTGTTTTCTTCTATTGTAATTTACTTATTAACTTTTTTTACAAATCAGTTATGTTAATATTCGATTTCCGATCACGATTTCCGAAATTTGGAATAAGTAACAATGTTGGTTATCGCGCAAGGCTGATGAACTTACGATTTAGATTTATTGAATAGAATTTTTTTTTTATTGCTTAGATAGATGGACAAGCTCACAGCCCACCTGGTGTTAAGTGATTACTGGAGCCCATAGACATCTACAATGTAAATGCGCCACCCACCTTGAGATATAAGTTCTAAGGTCTCAGTACAGTTACAACGGCTGCCCCACCCTTCAAACCGAAACGCATTACTGCTTTACGGCAGAAATAGGCAGGGTGGTGGTACCTACCCGTGCGGACTCACAAGAGGTCCTACCATCAGTAACGATAATGTTATTTGGAGCAGTTTGCTTGATGTAATACAAAATGTATACGCTAGTCCTGCTGCACTCTACTTTACTTGCCATGCCAAATAATTTAATGCAACTTAAAATACAGTTTTACCGTAAGACATAACCAAAAAATAACCTTCCTTCCTTAACTAAAGTCCTTAACTAAAGGTACTTTTGAAATCGTTTCACAGGACGTAGTGAAAGGACTAAGGGAGAAAGGTCACGGCATGATTCGGTACAGAGATAGGGGGTCAGTGATATGTGCCCTCTTTAGAAACAAAACGGGGATTTACGCAAACGCTGACTTCAGGAAAGGAGGGGACGTCGCCGGTATGGACTGAACGAAGTATTTATAATTCTAATATTTAATGACTTTATAAATTGTGATTTAGAAAAAAAAACTCGTGTCACAACGACCGCGTAACTCTATATTACAATTCTGTTTCTTCATTTAACAAGAAAAATAAAGAAGTGTAAATGTCAAATCGTTTTGACGTTTGATGCATGCATGACGTTTGATGCAAGCAGGATGATGTATGTATGAGTTGAGCCATAGATTATACACTTAATTTAATCGAGAAGTTGAGCTATTATGAGTAGATCTTTGTCAAACTATTATTTGATTAATGTTGCGTTTATATTTTTTGATTTGGCACTCATGCTGCTATAATTCAATGTTTTAAGTGTAAAAAAATAAATAAAAAATAAATCACAAACATTTCATTTTTTATAGTGTATAATTTTGTTCAATAAATGCCTGTTATATCATTTTACACAAATCATTAAATCATTTCATGTTTCTACATAAGTATGTATAAAATAAAAATACATTGAATATCAAACGTATAAGTGGAATTTACATACAAGTCTATTTTGGGCTCTGTAATTATATAGTAGAGTAAATAAGAAAAATCATTAAATTAAAATAAAAACAATAAAATTGTACATATATTATTAGAAAACCCGTTGGCGGTTTCACTCATAATACAAAATTGCTTCATTATTTTTTACAGCAATTAATAGTTATTAATCATTTTAATAAATATTACGATGCTGTATTGTGAATTTCTTTAACTGTTAAATTACGCTTATCTTAATAATTGGAACTTAAAAAATATTATGTCGAAGAAAGGTATAGAACTGATTGTAACTCGTGATAATAAGGGAGGAATGGAACTGTGTTATAGACTATTGTTAGACTTTTATAACGTTATTTAATTTAAATAATTATAAATGTAGTTTGTATAAATTCGTTTGTTAAATGATTTTATTTACTAAAACGCACAGTATATATACTTCTATATATAAAATTATTTCTATAATCAAGTAGATTCAAATTACGTTGTCTACATCACTATAGCTTGCATAATTAATTTTTAACAACGTAACTAAATAACTGTAGATAATAAAAAAGTTATTTCGTAATTTGAAATTTGATTGTATGCAGTATTTAATGAGTGATGTTTGTGGACTATAGTTTTCAATGGATTAAAATTAATTCAGTATTGTTATAATATATTACAATTAAGCTAGTCTGTTTTATGTAATAATATGTATGAGATCTGCTAAAGCGATCGAATTATCTCATTTTCGTCTGCATTCGTCATAATCCTATAAACAACCAGTCTGGTTTTTTTTTCAGTATAAGTAAAATTAAAACGATTTTTGTAGTAAAAAAAATAAAAGTTCTTGAATATTTATGCACTTTATTATTTCTGAACAAAATTAACATACATAACATCCAGTTCATACATCACTAATTACAATTTGTCTTGCATTGTAATTGCATTGCAACATTTTCAATATATATATATTATAAATTCTTAACTTATTGACTAGTTACGGCGTGTTTAGCCTAATTTTAACAATTTCGTCTAGTATTACGAAAATTTTGAGTTGCACGTACCTACGCAATTTTCTAATACAAATCATTTGTATTTAATCTAATCAAACTAAACAGTGACAAATAATTAAAAAATAAAACGACTAATTATGTAGTATTTTTTGAGTTTTCCACCTCAAGAATTTTTGGGTTAATATAATATTTAAAGAAACCTTATTGTAAACAAGGTACAATTTGCAACACAGATATCAGCCCGCAACATCCAATATGGAAATGTAATCGAAATTTAAGCTACACATATTATCATTATTATAAATTAAGCTAATATTCACAAAGTCGTCGTGGCCTTAAGGATAAGACGTCCGGTGCATTCGTTGTTGCGATGCACCGGTGTTCGAATCCCGCGGGCGGGTACCAATTTTTCGAATGAAATACGTACTTAACAAATGTTCACAATTGACTTCCACGGTGAAGGAATAACATCGTGTAATAAAAATCAAACCCGCAAAATTATAATTTGCGTAACCACTGGTGGTAGGACCTATTGTGAGTCCGCACGGGTAGGTACCACCGCCCTGCCTATTTCTGCCGTGAAGCAGTAATGCGTTTCGGTTTGAAGGGTGGTGTAGCCGTTGTAACTATACTGAGACCTTAGAACTTATATCTCAAGGTGGGTGGCGCATTTACGTTGTAGATGTCTATGGGCTCCAGTAACCACTTAACACCAGGTGGGCTGTGAGCTCGTCCACCCATCTAAGCAATAAAAAAAAAAAAAAAAAAAAAAAAACAAAGCGTGTAATAAATTACTTACTTATTCTAAACAATAAATTCGCAAAATTTGAAAGGTTTAAATTCTATATAATATCATAAAAATTTAGCCACCGTCTTTTTTATACGACTATTAAATTATATATCTACTTGTTAATTATTAGTGCAAATTACTTTCATAATCTATTTTGAAGTGAACAGACGTACGCATAATATTATCTACATTATAGTTTAAAAATAAACCACTAGTTATATAATGAAGAATATTAAAAAAAATCCACTGCGTTAATATTACTAACGTCTTTATTTAAATGCAAATTTCATAAACGTTATCCCAGTTATTTTCTCACCGAATCTCATCAGTGGGTCGCGATTCCGATCCGGTGGTAGACTCTGCGAAACTCTGCTGGCCTGTACTCAGGAGTGGAGTGAACCTTAGCCTTCTTTCCCAGAATTCAAACTATATCCATGGCGAATTTCATCAAAATCCCTAAACTGGTACGAGTTTAAAAACGTAACTTGAAAAATCTTAACGAAGGCTTTTAAATATAATTTAATTTTCGTGAAACAAAGCCATTCATATTCATATTCTGTTCCAAATTAACATGCACGAAAAATCAAAAACAATTGAGGAAATGTGCGTAACACAATAAAAAAGACATGTGTATGTTAAGTCTACACGGATAATTGCCATCATCCTGTCTAGTTCTGTCACAAAACAATGACAGATTCCGATTTAAAAGGACGGCCGTTAAGCTCATGGTACACGTTATAATATCTATTAGCTGCGGTAAAAAAAATCCGCCTATGATCAAATCAGAGTTCACTCATACTACATATAGCCACTGCGCTCACCCACAGTGGGTTTCTAGAAATCTTTTCTACAACACACCGTCTGAACTTCGAAATGAACTTGGTGTTACCCGAGTGCTGTGACATGTTTTTCTTCGAACCTAGTTTTAAGAGTACTCAGCGGTAAGCAGCGATTTGGTTATGCCCCTAGCATTATTGGCGGACACAAGGGACGGTAATAGCACGCCACAAGCCAAATGTTCATCTGTCTACAAGGGCAATGAAAAAACATCATGTGGACTATAACATCGCCCATGCATCTAGATTTATAAACAAGTTAAACTAGGAGCAAATAATCTCTATCGCACTCCTATAGTTAATTAAGATTAATTTTAAATCGTCGTGGCCTAAAGGATAAGACATCCGGTGCATTAGTATCTAGCGATACAACAGTGTTCGAATCCCGCAACCGGGTACCGTTTTTGTAATGAAATACGTACTCAACAAATGTTCACGATTGACTTCCACGGTGTAGGAATAGGATCGTGTAATAAAAATCAAACCCCAAAACTATAACTTGCGTTGACTGGTGGTAGGACCTCTTGTGAGTCCGCACGAGTAGGTACCACCACCCTGCCTATTTCTGCCGTGAAGCAGTAGTGCGTTTCAGTTTGAAAGCCGTTGTTACTATACTGAGACCTTAGAACTTATATCTCAAGGTGGGTGGCGCATTTACGTTGTAGATGTCTATAGGATCCAGTAACCACTTAACACCAGGTGGGCTGTGAGCTCATACACCCATCTAAAAAACAGGTAAGCTTTGTGATCACACTCGGCTAAAGCAAATAATTTCAAATAATTTCGTAAAAATGATTCTATTCGACGGTAGATGTCGCTGTTAACAACATTTAAGTTTTTTTTTCCCTACCTAAGCTGATAGCCTTGAGAGGCTATATCAGCGTAACCTTAACTAGTAGGTGAGCTCACGGGGCTCAAACCGGAATGTTGCTAACACTGACCCTAGCAAGAGCAGTGTTTCGCAGAATCTACCACCGGATCAGAAACACGACATACTGAGAAGATCCGGCGAGAAACTCAGCGGGCTGTGTGTATGGGTTAATTCGCTCGTCGAGCCCTTCGTCGCAAGCGACGGGTTCGACGAGGACGGTGACCGGTGCTTGTGGTGCCTAAAAGCACCGTTAATGGATCAACATTTAAGTAATTAGCCGCTATAAAAGCAAAACATCTTTCATAGCTTCGACCGGCGTCACGAACTTAGTGGCCCCGATAAGCACGGTGTTGTCGACGCCGCTTGTGATGACGCTGCGGTGCAGACGCTTGCATTCCTCGGCGGTCACGCCTCCGATCACGAACAAAATCACAGTGGGACTCTCGAGTGGATGTTTCAAAGTACGAGATTTCTTGCTTGTCAGAATGCTGAAACCGATTAAATATAATGTTAAATTTTATGACGATCTTCTTGATTTATATTCTACCGCCGTTTGTTCTATTAATTGGTGACTAAAAGGCGGAACAGAAGTACAACGACAATACATTTTTTTTTATTGATTAGATGGTGAACGAGCTCACAGCCCACCTGGTTACTGAAACCCATAGACATCTACAACGTAAAAGCGCCACCACCCTTGACTTGAATTCAGACTTTACATCTCAAAGTGGGGAGCGTGTTGTCTCTATGGACATCCTGTCACTACCAACAACTAGGCAAGCCGTGAAGATTATTCATCAACACCTTTCTAATACTTAATTTACTTATGTAAAAAGATAATTAATTAAGTTTACTTTTGTCATGTTAGGTTACATGTTACATATCACGAATACTTGTCTTCGTTTTTTAAAACACAATACATTTATGTATACAGGGTGACTTGTAATTGGACGTATTCCTTTTGGGATGGATCTAATTTCCAACAAAATTAACCCTAATGTCCCTAATACCAAAGTGTCTCGTTATAATAATAATAATAATAATAATATAGTGCTAGTAAAAAAGTAAAATAGACCTTAATACAATTATGCCTAGAGTATATTGTATACTTTTAAATGCGGCCACATGAGATTCCGTCTTTTGGTAAGAGCCGGTCTTTTTCCTACCTATTTTAGTGACGTCGAGGCGTCATAATAGATTCACCGAACGAGTAGGTAAGCTCACGGGGCTCTAACCAGAGGACACTGATAACACTGATGACCTAGCAAGAGCAGTGCATCGCAGAATTTACAACCGGAGCGTAATCGCGACCCACTGAGAAGACCCGGTAATAAACTCAGTGGGCTGTGCCTGTGTCTGTGGGTCAATTTCTCGCCAAGCCCTTCATCGCAAGCGACGGATTCGACGAGAACGGTGACCGGTGCTTGTGGTACCTAAAAGCAGCGATAGTGAATCGGGAGGATCTGAAATGACGTGTGAGCCCCATTAACATTCCATATTCACGGTTTCTGTATTCAAATTAAAAGCTTTTACTGTAATTGTTATTCCAATGATTTTTGTTACACTTCGCACGAGAGCCCATATACATTAAAACTATACTCACTTCAAGCCGCTTCTCAGCAAATCTTTGATACCCTCATTTCTGTGTCGCAGGTCAGTTAGTTCTGGTCTATCCGTGTCCACGAGGTCATCGACTAGCTGCAGTAACAGGCCGCGGTATTCGTGCCCGATTCCTGTTTCGCTTGTCTTTATTAACGAGTTGTATCTGTGTATTTAAAAACGTAATTGTATTTAGAATACAAGTGGTTAACTATATAAAGAGGTCGGATGAATAGGTAACACTATGCTTTCTAATCACTACATAGTATAAAACAAAGTCGCTTTCTCTGTCCCTATATCTGTCTGTCCCTATGTATGCTTAAATCTTTAAAACTACGCAACGGATTTTGATACGGTTTTTTTTAATAGATAGAGTGATTGAAGAGGAAGATTTATATGTATAATAACATCCATTAAATAGTGGAGAAATCAATAATAAATTACAGTTTCCGAAGCAAAGCGAGGGCGGGTCGCTAGTAAAGGTTAAGTAAACCTCGAAAGTAGTTTTAATTATTAACATTTTCATTTCTGTCGGAAATTTTCATGCATTACAGTTTGAAGAGACACATCTATGGGTTTGCTTAACAAATCTAAATGCATTGCTGTTTTTTTTTTTATTAAGATTTAATATGTGCCTGCTTTATTTTGTAGAAACTGACCCAGAAGATTTTCTTCTAATACAATGAGTGAAAAAAAAACAACTATTAAACAAATGTTTGCATATTGAAAGAATATTAAAAAAAACATACTTCTGCAAATTTTTCCTCATCAATGCTATTTCCTTTAGTCGCTTCAATGTTTTTTGAGAAATCTCATCACATTCCTCCGGTGTTACTATATGCCCTTCAACTTGAGGAAATAAGCTTTTGTGATCTTCGAACATGGCAACACTGAGAGCCTCAATTAGATCCTGTTCATGAGTTTTTGAGAATGTGACTTCAGTACCGCCGAGAGAGTATATGTGAATGATTAACGCGAGCAGATTATCCAAAGGCAAATTGCGTTCTTTACGGGATTTTATTAATGTACTCATCTGAAAAAAAAAAGTTAAAATAGTTTTTTAAGAAGGTAAAATAAATAAAAACTTTCAAAACTCATTTGAGTCTGTTTCCAGAATTCTCTTAGTTAATGATTATTATTGAAGTTTCACAATAGCTACTAAAAATCGGTTAGCAAGTAGATAGCACTAAATAGTTTCTTTTTCAGTTTAAAAATGACTAAGCAGTCATTATTAACCGACTTCATAAAAGGAGGAGGTTCTCAATTCGACTGTATGTTTTTTTTTATGTTTGTTACCTCATAACTTTTGACTGGGAGAATCGATTTTGATGATTCTTTTTTTATTAGAAAGCTGACGCTTCTCGTGTCATTCAATTTAGTCCAATTCTGATAATGATATCCATGAGAAAACCATATAAGTCTTAAATTTACATTAAGTACGTGCACGACAAATAGATGAATAACACAATAACTCGATAACATGCCAACCGATTTCGATGATTATTGTTTTAAGTGTATATTAATTGGTTTGGAATATCTTTTTTTTTCTAATTGAAGTCGGTTTTTGTTAAAGCATATCTATTTATAATTATTTGTAGATCTACATATATTGTTATAATTGAATCTTCAAGCTAAAATTATGAGCTCGAGCTTTATACAGTAGTATCTATGCTCTGTGAACCTTATGGCACCAGGAAAACCATCAACTCAGCTGCCCATTTGAAGTAAGTACTTATGGAGATATATACGACAAAGGGAAGATCTTCCACCGAGCGGGTGATATTGCTCAGTAGACCGACAGTCCGAATGTTGTCGTTCAGAACTTGTATATATGCAAGCTTATCTTGAAAATGTCGTAAGCGAGATTCAGGCATCTGTCAAATGTCTTTCGTTGTATGATGGCTACCGCCACATACTAATAACGCACCTGTTGCAAAACACTAGTGGAGTCTCGGCTGGCACCCAAATTCTGAAGGACCTGTTTCTCTAAGCTCGCCAGGAGTTCCAACTGAGCTCGTCTCGGCGACTTCAACGTTTGTACGACGGCTAATGCCAGCTGCAGTATGCCTAGATGATTGCTTATTACGTCATAATTCCCTGTAACGAGTTTTATAATTTTTAATACGCTTTTATTAGCTTCAGACGTATGCATGCCTTTTTTTTTATTGCTTAGTTGGTTGGACGAGCTCACAGCCCACCTGGTGTAAAGTGGTTACTAGAGCCCATAGACATCTACAACGTAAATGCGCCACCCATCTTGAGATATAAGTTCTAATATCTCAGTATAGTTACAACGGCTGCCCCACCCTTCAAACCGAAACGCATTACTGCTTCACGGCAGAAATAGGCAGGGTGGTGGTACCTACCCTTGCGGACTCACAAGAGGTCCTACCACCAGTAAAAAGTTTTCTTTGTTCACCCTAACCTATAAAATTAAAATTACCTTTAGCCGCCGTAACGATCTTGTCGACGCTCTGTGGAGTAACCCTGAGCAGAGTCTTGGGACTCGGTGACCGCTGTACGTCCAACTTTGACAATTTATTGTATAAATCAAACATCACTTCCTTTTGAGACTTGTTTAGCATGTGTTCAAATGTTTGTGTGCATATATCATCGTTCGCGTGGTAGAGACAGCCCGGGCTTAGTTGTAGGTCATCTGGATGGGTGATTCTAAAATAATATATCGATGGTATAAAAACACATTTATTGTCATTTAATATACGTAACATTTAATAATGTACTTTGGATTATCCATATTAATGTTTTTTTTTATTGCCCATCGTAGTAATACGTGCTTACGTCCCACCTGATGGTGAGTGGGTACCGTCGCCTATGGACTTCAGCAATGCCAGGGGCAGAGTCAAGCTGCTGCCAACCGCTTAATACTCTCCACAAGCCTCTTTTGAAGAAGGAACTGTCATAGCGCTCGGGAAACACCGTGGAGCAGAGCTCATTCCATAGCCGGATGGTATTTGGCAAAAAAAACCCTTTGGAAACGCACTGTCGATGAACGCAGCGGTTCCAGATAATATGGATGAACTCTGCTCCGATGACGGGAGGTGCGATGATAAAAAGGATATGAGGGGATCATCTCAAAAAATTCCTCAGAGCACTCCCCATAGAACACACGGTACAAAATACAGAGGCATCCAAAGTCCCTCCGCAGACCCAGAGGTTCCAATGTTAATAGTAATACTGATATACAATTATTGTTTGTTTTTTCACTAGGACCTCTTGGGAGTCCACACGGGTAGGTACCACCACCCCGCCTATTTCCGCCGTGAAGCAGTAATGCGTTTCGGTTCGAAGGGTGGGGCAGTCGTTGTAACTATACTGAGACCTTAGAACTTATATCTCAAGGTGGGTGGCGCATTTACGTTGTAGATGTCTATGGGCTCCAGTAACCACTTAACACCAGGTGGGCTGTGAGCTCGTCCACACATCTAAGCAATAAAAAAAAACAAAGTCATCATCAACTAAGATTAAATGTACTACAGGAGCACACATTAGCACATATTAAGGGCCACAAACTAAACTCGCAGGTATCGCAAACAAGATCTCCGTTTTGAACAATGTTTATGCTAGACAATGAAACTTGAACCCCATGTTTCAAGGTAGGACTCTCATTATGATGTCTGCAAGCTCCAGCATTATATAATAGACAGTTTGCCATGATCTCCTCTGTCTATTTAGAGCAAAAGAATACTAAAAGTATTACTGCTAACTACAATTTCTGTCTGTTTGTCTACATCACATCTTATTTTCGATAATAATCTTTCTCTTATTCACTCACTCATTGTAACATGACATTGCATAAGCGTGACATTTTGCTTGTCACCTCATCTAAAAGTTATTCTCAAGGTGCACTGTGCATCATTTTTACTAATTATCCACCTAAGATATGTTTAGTCTTGCATCACAATTACTAAATAAAATCTAAACATTTATATGTGATATAAATTTCATATAAAGCAAAATATTTGACTTAAGATGGCGGCAGGTATTTCTAACCAATCACAGTGCTGGATATCCTAATTTATTTGTATATATTGAGATTTTAGTTTATTCTTACACATTAGCTTCACAAAGCGGAGACATATCAATGGCAACTTCATTCGAATGCCCTGGGAACTTTGGTAAAACTGCCAACACTTTGTCCAGAACAGATTCCATAGAATGACTTGTCACACTGCAGAGATCTAAGGTTCGGTCCACTATTATTAATGACGCAGGATTCGTGCAATTCTGGAATAAAGCAATTGTACTGTTTTTTCTATCTATCTATAATATTAAAATTCTATTCTATAATATCTAAAAGAATATTGGTCATCTGAAATTACATTATTTATACATTTATTAAGATCATTATTATTACTGGCGGTAGGACCTCTTATGAGTTCGCATGGGTCGGTACCACCACCCTGCCTGTTTCCACTGTGAAGCAGTAATACGTTTCGGTTTGAAGGGTGCGGCAGCCATTGTAACTATACTAAGACCATAGAACTTATATGTCAAGGTGGATGGCGCATTTACATTGTAGATGTCTATGGGCTGCAGTAACCACTTAAGACTAGGTGGGCTGTGAGCTCGTCCACCCACCTGAGAAATATTTATATAAATTGTAATAAATAAATAATATACATAATATGAAGACAATGAAATCTCATAAATACCTTTCTCCTCGATAGACAAACAGGTGAATTTTCTAGAACACCAGCTAATAAAGAACTATAGGTTCCCATGTGATAGACATCCTCTTTCAAGTTCATCGATTCAAACATGCTATTAAGACAACTGGCTAATCTTCTTATCTGAGATCTTTCCTCACTCTTTAAAGTATATAGATCTACTGAAGTTGTCTCCGGTGTCAGTCTACCATCATAGAGAGGGAACATGGCATGAAATGGTGGAGTCAGAAATACTACATTTGTTGGAGAAATTGTGAAGATCGGTATGTGCACTACTTGGACGGCACATGGCTGTAAAAGTGATTTTATTACACTTAATATTTTGAGATTTCAATTATAATAAAAATAAAAACAAAACATTTATGCAACTGTGGGTACGAATCTATGTATAAATAGGCAAAAGCACAGATAGGTCCATTTTGTTTTTTGTCAACTCATTTTTCTATACAGTCAAACACATTGATAGGTTTTATTCAACATGTTAGCATGGCTAATAATAATCCGAGCAAATGAAAAATGTTCAAATACATACAAAGTCTTAGTAGTTCATTTAAATAATCCAGAATAAAAGGCTACTCACACTTCTTCCGATCCACTGAACCATCATATCCTCCAGCATCTTAGTAGCCTCTGCCGGCCCTCTTCCAGCAGTGATGACATCACTCACATCTTTACCTTCATGGAGCTCCAAGTATACAACATCCAAACTGACACATGATATCAGTGTACAATGTGAGAAATCACTGTGTTTGATAATGTCTTGTATTGTACGTAGTTGTGTGGAAGTAGTCTGGGTTATGAATACTCCTTTCCTTTGATCTTTTGTCGCACACTGTGAATCCAAATATAGACAATCATAAATGGAACCAAATCAGGTTTTAAATTCCAAAAGTGCAAAAAAATTCAAGATTTTCCTGCATTTTTAAATTTAATGTAAATAATATAATAATATTTGTTTAATTAATTTTTAAACATTATTACATTTTAACTGTCCACACATTAAAACACACATTGGACAAGTCATCAATCCATTAATAATTGTACTAATAATCATTAATGTATTCATCTGAACTAGATTTACTTTAAATAAATTTTAACAACTAATTAAATATAAATTTCATATAGCATCCTAGTTATGTCTACATTTTCCCAGTCATCATTTTCGTCGAACCCGTCGCTTGCGACGAAGGGCTCAATGAGTAAATTAACCCACAGACACAGCCCGCTGAGCTCACCTACTAGTTAAAGTTACTCTGAATAAGCCTCTCAAGACTATCAGCTTAGGTAGGAAAAAAAACTACATTTTCCAAATGTTATCTTCCTCACTTATAGTTGTTATATACTTATGACTAAGATCCTCTTAGGCGGATACAATAATTTTTGCCTTGGAAGGTTTGATGGTTAGTAGTCATCGTCAACCATGGATGTCAAAAATTCCAGAAGTACATACAGCTAAGCTGCTGCTTACTTATATCATAAACAAAAGACTAATCATTAAAAATAAAAACATATTGTACATTGTTGTAAATTAACCTCAAATGGAGATAAACTTTTAACTGCAACAGNCCTCTTAGGCGGATACAATAATTTTTGCCTTGGAAGGTTTGATGGTTAGTAGTCATCGTCAACCATGGATGTCAAAAATTCCAGAAGTACATACAGCTAAGCTGCTGCTTACTTATATCATAAACAAAAGACTAATCATTAAAAATAAAAACATATTGTACATTGTTGTAAATTAACCTCAAATGGAGATAAACTTTTAACTGCAACAGCACCTCCTTCGAGCAGGTTGAAAAGGCCCCCATCCCAATGAAGACATTCGGAACTAGCATCATCCAAGAAGACAACAGCACCAATAATTCTGTTGTAAACTTCGGCCCACCAAGTCTTACAGAATTCTTTTACAGATGAATCGGACATTTTGAAACAATTAGCCACTTATTTATTTGATTAATTACTACGATTTAATGGGTTTAATAATAGCTATAAAATTTAGAATGCCCCCTCATTTGAGGTAAAATTTACAAATTTGCAATTTTTTTTTGTTTTTTGCAATTTTTTATTTCATGTATTGAGGGCAAAAGGTAATACAGCCCATACAGCCAAAAAAATTATAAACAAATATTTTGTAGCGGAAAAAAAGATACTGTGCGAGAAGCAAAATTAGTGAGTTATAAGGTGATAACACGAAATATGTGTATTGTGTTCCATTTGTGACATACGTTAGAAATTTTATGCGTATTCAATAAGAAGTCTTACGTCTTGCCTTTCAAACTAAGCTCATTTATATTTCGCGGCAGAAACAAAATGATTGATCCTGCACACTCACAGTTCTACTGAAATCAAATCGACACAACTTTTATTTTCCCACATATTTTATTACTACTTCATCTTAATTACATGTTATGTTTAAAAAGAATGTGACATTTTTATTTATTATAGTGAATAACAAAGTGAAATTTTAATCCAATAAAACGTAGAAAAAAAATTGCTATTTTTTAAACTTTTAATAACTTAAAATATATGAATGTTTTGCAGACTAACTTTCTAAAACAAAATTATTGTAATTTAGTGGTCATCTTCATAACCGCTGGGAAGGGCATTCACATGAGGGTTGTGGAAAAGGGACTTCTGTCCATCACCCCATGGGAAACGCTGAAAACGTAAAAGGTTATTAGTATAATATATACATTATTAATATGTAGTAAAAAATAAATATATTTCTATGTAGCCCTTGGTAAATTACAATGTAAAACATTCATAGAATATAATAGTTTTAATGAAAGATCTATTAATTACTGTTGCCTGGAAGAGATTGCTTTGAGCAGAAACAAAGAATTTGTTTTTTGTTTATGTTTAATGAAGAGTTTCCTATTTTCTCTTTTCATTCAATGAAGTCATTGACTTTGAATATTGTTTTAAGAAAATTAAAACAAAATTCACTAATAAGCTCTACTGTATTAGTTTCATTATTTNTATAATAGTTTTAATGAAAGATCTATTAATTACTGTTGCCTGGAAGAGATTGCTTTGAGCAGAAACAAAGAATTTGTTTTTTGTTTATGTTTAATGAAGAGTTTCCTATTTTCTCTTTTCATTCAATGAAGTCATTGACTTTGAATATTGTTTTAAGAAAATTAAAACAAAATTCACTAATAAGCTCTACTGTATTAGTTTCATTATTTTTTTGCTTTATAAAACTATTACCTTTCTTTCTGTTTAATTATAGTAACAATAAGATGAACAAAAAGTTCATGTCATATTCTTAGTCCACACCGCACAGCCATATTTGAAGAAATATTTTTTTATTTACCTTTGTACGAATGCGCATGTATTCATAAGGTACAAATGGCGGACGTTCATGGTGTTCCTCTTGGTGAGCTAAGTAGGCATTTAGCATTCCGAGGGCAATAGCTGGGAATGCCACGAAGAAAGACATCCTTTTCCATAATATGTAGCCACCTGTGACCAACAAACATATTGTTAATTTTAAATCTATATTAATTTATTGTGATAATATGGTGTATTTCTAATGAATAATCTAAAACTAAAATTTACCTTATATTTTGTCAAATTACTTGCACTACATTATGAAGGATTTTAAATGTTGTTTACAAATTAATATTGATCCAACTGATAAACTACTTTGATAAAGTTATAAATTAAGAAAAGAGGCAGCACTAAATTTAACATTCTTCAGCATTCATTGATTATGTAGAGATACATATTTTGCAACAGCATGAAGACGCACAAAATTGTGATGGATCAGGATTGAAGAAGAATGATAATAAAAGAACAATAGATGTATGGATCAACAGCAAATCAATATTTAAATAATTCTGAAACAGCACTTGTTGTAATTATTTAGAATTAAGTTGTCAGTTGACTATATGAGAACTTTTTTCTGAGAATTGGCAGTTTCATTAGAATTTGGAAGTAGGCCGGCCACAGATGGCGTCGCACTGACATTTGGAAGGGCACAAAATTACTGGAGTGGAGACCTTGTACTGGCCATCGTAACACGGGCAGATGAAGCGACAACCTGGTCAATAGCTGGTAAGGACTGGATGCGAAAGACAAGAGAACTAAGGAAATATAATGCATATTAAAAGACCTCAACATTAGTGGACACAAAGAAAAGAAAGAGAGAGTAAAGGGGTAGTTTCATTTCTGTGGTGGAATCTAATAAAACATGATAATATTGATGATAGGATAACTAATTGACTGTGCTTTATCTGTTTATTTTATTCTTGTGTCATAATAATTTGATTTTTAAGACATAGATAAATCCTTTTTTTTGTCTGCAATGGCACCTGACTCATAAAACAGTGAAGTGGTTTGTGAGGCCCAAAGTTAACAGTGTGCCACCACTTGTCTTAATTACTGTAGTGTAAGTCTCAATATATATGTGTATAGGCCTACCTACCCCTCAAATCAGGATATGTCATTTTTTGTATCAATATTATACTCATACTGTATGATGGATTTTTTAATCAAATCTGAATCACATCATCACATCAGTTTTCCTTTGAGTTTATTATTTCCATACCTAATTAATCCAATTAGGTATTCCAATTATGCAGATACAGGGTTTCTATGACGGACTTCAGTTTGAGGAACGGTAGAAAAGCGATGTTATAGAACTAAAAAACTTAAGAAGCATACACATAGTTTAAGCTTGAAGGACCCCTTTAATATATAAATGCAGGATTTTCATAAAGTAAATCACATAACTTTGCAGGAACTGTGATAAGAAAAACAGGTTATCTGATTACATAAGTTTTTGGAAAATCCATAAAATATACTTTACCTCCATGCCCACCAGCAGTAGCAGCATGCGAAGAAGCACGCGCATTTGTTTTTAAGAAAGAAATAGCAGCTTTTCGCAGAATCGAAGTCATTTTTCTTTGGGAATTAAATCGTTACGAATTATATATTAAAGGCAATTGTCAAACGTCAGTTATAGTTGACTTTGTTTTTTTTAAGCATGGAACAATGTTTGTCAAGCACTGTCAGCCATCTATGTAGCCATGCAGAGGAAAGCCAGAGAAGACTGTATTAAAAGTAAGTAAACCGTAAAAACAAGTCTAAAATGGCGTTATGATACTAATATTTGTTATACTTGAAAGAAAGTACTAAAATAAATGGCTACCAAAATAAAATTTATTTATTACGGTTTTTTTCTGCTGTAATCCCATAAGAGATAGGCCCTCCTACTTTGTTTTCCAGACTCCATAATCGGACATTAAATCGGACAATAAATTTCAGGAATAAAAAGGGCTTAAATATTTTTTAAGCTTCAAAAAAATATTTTTCTTTAGCTATTTCAACGGCTCTATGCTTATTTTTCATCATTAACAGCTTATTTAAATCTACTATTGGACACATGCCTCTTCCAAAGCACGCTCTCATGTTTATATTTGTTTGTAAGAAATAAAAAAAAATCAATTATGTAAATCAGAAAATAGCAATTTCTTTTAAATTCAGGATTTTTTCTTTATTAAGTTAATAACGCTAACATAAAATTGCTCAAAGAGTTAAGCTGAGAGAGATTAATTCTGAATTCATTTTCTACATTCAATGGAATGTAGAATGGACGGAGTGAGTAATGGAAGAGTTTTGGTAGAATACATAGTGCAATTTTATTAAACTAAAACGATACACCCGGAACCAGTAGACTTTGCTAGTGGTTAATTGTGTTTCTTACAAAATATGAAATATTTCATAAAACAATATAAAACATATTAAAAAAGGTAACGATTTGTAAAATTTTATACATTAAATTATTTAGAAAGTATGGTTTAATAAAAAATAATAGCTATCGCATGTATCCTGTGCGCTAGTGTGCAAAACTATGCCATCTCGTGACGATTTCAAGAATCAAACAGATTCAAAGACGCTCGAAATAACCTCAAGATTAGAAGTCATAATAGATGGCGCTTTATCGTCGCAAGTTATAAAGAATTAATATTTTTTTTTTACAATATCCTAACAATAAGTAATAGCAACAGTATTATACACATATCAATTTTATTTATTGAATTTATTATCAATGCATCTATGAAAATTATCTATGCACAGTAAAAATTGATGACCTCGCAGGAGACCCCAACGAAGCGACGTAGGTATTTATATATTAGTTACAAAATTTTGTTTTCGGTGAAAGTACTTATATTATTAGTGCATATAAATTCACAGCGAAAGGAATTATCATCTAGTCTATCACGCAGAATCGTGTTCCTCGGCCGTCACACAGACAGCTGCTGACATAGCATTCAAGCAAGGGTAAATCTACTAACCCTGACCCTATGAAGATCATTATTTGATGCATAGATAATACACTTAATATTTAAGAAATTGATGAAATGTCAAAATATGCAAGCTAGTGCATATCTGCAATTTTTATAGAGGGACACGCGGGTTTATGGCCGCTGTTGTTAAGTTTTTACCGAATGCTATAAACAACTCAACGGAAATGCCACCACCTATTTTGGAAGAGAGCAGTAGGCACGATGTTAGTTTGTTTACATTTCTTGGATATTCTTATTATTATATTTAGCGGTAGGCAGCGGCTTGGCTTTGCCCCTGGCATTGCTGAAGTCCATGGGCGACGGTAACCAGTCACCATCAGGTGGGCCGTATGCTCGTCTGCCTACAAGGGCAATAAAAATAAAATCTCAGTACGCCCTACAATCAGTATTTAAACCCCTGTTAATGGACTAATTAGGCATTCCTTAATTATTCCCTAAACTTCTCTTGGCTGGCATTCATCATCCTTCTGTAGGTGGGTAACTGAAATAAAATTATTCTTTCACTTCACAATAATTCAGAACTTTATTTAACTAATAGACATGCTTTCGAACATGTTGAAATCCATTCCCGGAACTGGATACGCATTGTTGTCATCTTCTTTATTTGGATAATATTGTTCTAGAAGTTCTTTAGGTGAGACCTGTGAATGTAAAAGTATTTACATTAGCAAAAATCCAAATGTGTGGATTGAGATTGAGAACAAGAAACAAACGCCACATCAATCAGTCTGTAGACGCTATTTTCGTGGAAAATGTAGAGAAAATATTTTTAATAGTTGACATTTTCGTTCAAATCACTAATTCCAGGATTTATTTTAGGCGTATCTACATACGTACGACTAAAGTTTAAGAACAAAAAATATTAGATAAGTGTAACAGGTAGGTTTACTTTACCTTTTTCTTTGAGAAAAAAATTTAAATTAATTTACCAGGTAGATAGGTGCCCTTACCTTTTTCTCCTTAAGTTTTTCAATATCAAAGTTCATGTAGAAAGCTGATTGCTGTAGCTGTCTCAAATTTCTCATCCTGACGCGAGGGTCCCGTTCCAATAACCTCATCAGTAAACCTCTCGCGGCATTCGATATGGAGTCTGCACTCTTTGGAAGAGTTTTTGGGATAAAGTGGTCTGAGTTCTTCTTCTTGCTATTGATTTTATTACGAAAAAAAAACTCAATATTAATCATTAGTTTATAAATACGTAGGTACTTAATGCATCTACAGGTTGGTCAAAATAACTACGATGAGTTAAAAATTTGTAAACTTGAAATACAAAGCGAAGGCAAGTTTTAGATGTGTCTCGTATGATATGTTAATATACCTATAGATATCTTGATTGAATGAGTACATTTAACTATTACTTTTGATCGCAATTCCTTGATTTGAGTATGCAACGTATCGTAACCATTAAATCCCAACTAGATTCTCATACTGGGATGCGAAATGTGTCTGTGCACTTTATTATAAAAGTAAATAATAAAAACAGATTATCTCAAAAACGTATATAAACTATTTGCAAAATATAATTATTAGCAGGTAGCTTTATGTGGGCGTTTCATAGTTTATCCAACAGCGATTAATATTTGATTTCAGAAGAACCAAAACAAGGCTTTGCTTTTTTTCAATTTTTGTTTTGTTTACCATAATATTAAAAATGTAACATCGACACTTAACCGCGTTTCGTTGTAACAAGCTAAGCATATAAAAAAAAACCACATTTGTTCCATAAACTCATGCTGCACCTGCCGCAAGTCCGCGGCATAAATTCCAGAAACCTTCATCGAAATGCCAACATCTGTACAATGTTTTAACTCGATTGGATAAACGACATATTTAAAAAAAGAAATTCCGAGCATTAGTTTTTAAAAAGAAAACGGTGTTTGATCCTTTGGCCTGTCCAAGGGCAGGTTCAGAACTACAATGATAGCGGGTAATGTTACAAAATTACTTAACTTAAAAAGAAACGCGGTAAATTAGTTATGTCTTTTAAAATCTCACCTGTTATTGAATTCGTTGTTTGCGTCATTAATGGACGTCGTCTCCTCGTGTTCCTTTTTGGATCCGGCACTTACAAATGATGTTGGAAACTAAAACAAAAAACACAGTAAGACAACAAGTAAGTAAGCGTAACAGGTACCACCACCCTGTCTTACTGGTGGTAGGACTTGTCTTGTGAGTCCGCACGGGTAGGTACCACCACCCTGCCTATTTCTGCCATGAAGCGGTAATACGTTTCGGTTTGAAGGGTGGTGCAGCCGTTGTAACTATACTTGAGACCTTCGGGTTAAAGATATTCTTTATTCTCAAAAGAATTACATAGATTCACTTAAATGAGAACATTAAAATAGTTACAATTACTTCAGATCGTGCAGTACATGACAATAATTTACAGTACCAACATGCGACGCTATGCTATAAACAATTCATTTAACAAAAACTATAAAGATTATTATTTTCTTAAAATGTATAAACAGGGTNTGGTTTTATTTGTGTATCAATAGTATGTTCAGTAGGTCTGAGAATCGGCTACTATCTATTTTTCATACCCCTAAGTGAAAAGGGTTGTCCACCCCAAACATTTATTTTTTATTTTAATTTTTTGGATATTTTTTATTTATTTATAATGAGGTATTATGTGGTTAAATGAGGTTTTTTTTTCTACAGTAGAATTTCCCTAGATATCTTATATAAGGCAACACAACGTTTGCCGGGTCAGCTAGTGTTAATATAGATATCTTGATTGAATTAGTACATGTCACACAGTGTACACTGCGTTAGTAAACTATTACTTTTGATCGCAATTCCTTGATTTGAGTATGCAACGTATCGTAACCATTAAATCCCAACTAGATTCTCATACTGGGATGCGAAATGTGTCTGTACATTTTATTATAAAAGTAAATAATAAAAACAGATTATCTCAAAAACTTATATAAACTATTTGCAAAATATAATTATTAGCAGGTAGCTTTATGTAGATGTTTCATAGTTTATCCAACAGCCATTAATATTTTGATTTCAGAAGAACTAAAACAAGGTTTTCCTTTTTTTTTTCAATTTTTTTTTTGTTTACCATAATATTAAAAATGTAACATCGAGACTTAACCGCGTTTTGTTGTAACAAGCTAAGCATATAAAAAAAAACACATTTGTTCCATAAACTCGTGCTGCACCTGCCGCAAGTCCGCGGCATAAATTCCAGAAACCTTCATCGAAATGCCAACATCTGTACAATGTTTTAACTCAATTGGATAAACGACATATTTAAAAAAAGAAATTCCGAGCATTAGTTTTTAAAAAGAAAACTGTGTTTGATCCTTTGGCCTATCCAAGGGCAGGTTCAGAACTACAATGATAGCGGGTAATGTAACAAAATTACTTAACTTAAAAAGAGAAATGCGGTAAATTAGTTATGTCTTTTAAAATCTCACCTATTATTGAATTCGTTGTTTGCGACATGAATGGATATCGTCTCCTCGTGTTCCGTTTTGGATCCGGCACTTACAAATGGTGTTGGAAACTAAAACAAAAAACACAGTAAGACAACAAGTAAGTAAGCGTAACAGGTACTACCACCCTGCCTTACTAGTGGTAGGACCTCTTGTGAGTTTGCACGGGAAGGTACCACCACCGTGCCTATGTCTGCCATGAAGCAGTAATATGTTTCGGTTTGAAGGGTGGTGCAGCCGTTGTAACTATACTTGAGACCTTAGAACTTATATCTCACGGTGTAGTAACTAGTAACCACTCTCCACTCTCCAGTAACCACTTAACACCAGGTGGGCTATGAGCTCGTCCACCCATCTAAGCAATAAAAAAGTAAACAAAGCCTATTGCAATTGTTTTACGGCGTATCATTAGTCTGCACAGGTACTACAAACCCGGCTACGAGTCAATTTCCATCCGGCTTTGGAATGAACTTTCCTCCATGGTTTTTCTTCAAGCATTGTTTGAAGACTCTTTGGCGGAATATAGCAGCGATGGTTAATCTTAGTCAAGTTAGAAAATCACAATCGAACAAATTTACTGATTAAGGATAGCCAAAGAGAAAGAAATTGGAGGACTAAAATCACCTATTCACTATTGTTAACGAGTGTATAGTTCATCATCATCAACAGCCCATAGTCGTCCACTGCTGGACATAGGTCTCTCCCAATACACACCACTGAGCACGGTCTGCGGCTCTCCTCATCCACTTTTTGCCGGCCACCGTTCGGAGGTCATCGCACCACCTAGCCAGGGGGCGTCCCACGTTACATCTTCCGCTGCGCGGTCTCCACTCGAGCACTCGTATATAGTTGGTCATGAGAAATTAGAAGTACCCTAAGTTTATGTGAGTCAGAAATTGTAAGAGTAAGGCACTCATAAGCAGCGACAATTCCAACGACTCAAACCATCCACTATCACTGAGAGCCCATTAAAGTTCGTTTGACGAAGTACAAGTCGCGTTTAGGAAAACGCCTAAGTAAATTACATATTTTCGGCATTTTAAAGATACATTACAGTACTACTTATGTAGAATACCGTTATGTTATCTACAATATACTATATGTAAAAATATATAACTGATATAAACTAATATTTTTATTTATGTTATTAGTACCAGAAACACACAGACACGTGACTCGTTTCTAAATCTAGCAAGTTAGTAGTTTGCCTGTGTCTGTTTCTATTACTTCTAGTCTCTTTTATGTGTATTCAAAATTTTTTAGTATAGGGTCGTTTCGATACTTTTATTTATTGGTCACATTTTGCAGTCCTTCGGCAACAATATATTTTTTTAATTTTTATTATTAATAACTAACATCTGAATAAATTTATCAAAATATTGTATATATAATAACATAGTGAACGACTCAAGTAACTTACTAATCTGTCGGCTTAAATAAATAATGACAATAATAATTGTCTAGGGTATTCTGAAAATGCATTTAACTCTACGTGTAAAATATACTAAGAACACGGCTGGTTCATGAACTTCAAATAAAATAATATAAGTTGAACCAGTTTACCACATTATTGAACCGCACAAGGACTGACTGCGCAAATCGTTAGAAATAACGAAGTAATTGTACCAAAACGACTCTTGAGGTCAGTAAAATCAACCAGCAATAAACCTTAGCTAAAGACAAAGGCACGATTATTATAAACTACTCGCAGTTCCAACTGCTGTGAAGGCTAAAAACATCGTTACACCTTCTCGAAACCGTACTTTAATCGAATACTTTATCAGAACTTTATTAATTTTCAGTGTATAAAATAAATTTAAGATACCAAGCCGTTGCTACGTCTAGGACGGCAAGATAGCATTGCAAATATATCGTTACTCAAAATACGATCAATTGGTTTTGATAAACTAATCTATATCTATACTAATACTAATAATATTATAAAGAGGAAAGATTTGTTTGTTTGTTTGTTTCGAATAGGCTCCGAAACTACTGGACCGATTTGAAAAATTCTTTTTCCATTAGAAGCCGACATTGTCCCTGATGAACATAGGCTACTTTTTTTAATTATTCTTTTATTTTATTTTTTTGGTTTCATGTGTGTTTTAATGTTTCCGAAGCGAAGCGAGGGCGGGTCGCTAGTAAATAAATAAATAAATGAGACCTTCGACCGACATGAGGTTGCCCTCGGTCAGGTTATACATACTACATAGTCGGTATGTCGTAGGGTCGGGACTTACTTCCCTAATTATTCCAGTGTAAAAGTTATCGTGTAGTGTTTAATTTTATAATCATTTGGTACTAGAACTAGATGTTAGCTGGGATTACCTATAATTAAGTGAGCACATGTCAAGTTTTGATATTTTTGTACCCTATGTTTAAGCCAGTGTTTCATTTGTTGGTGATCCATTAAATAAATAAATAAATAAATAAACTAAACATTTTAAACACTTCCAAACAGTATACAAGTTTTAATCGCATATTACTTTCAAGTTATTGTACCGTTGAGTAGTATTTGTAATACAGTAAAAGTGCATGTTTCGGTTTATTGTTTCTATTTAAAATTCATGTAAGTAATACTGAATTTTATTAACACTGTTGTAATATCGCATTACAAAATTCTTAACGTTATAAATAAACAGCAACGGTCACGGCAATGGCCGGTTCTACGAGTAAATGTTGCTCATAAATAGTAGAAAAAATATATATATAGAATAATAAAGTTATGAAAGGAGCCACCATCCGTCATCCGTCGCTTAGTGGTAGGATGTGTAATTTATCTTGAACGCAACGTACATAATGTTAATATGAAATCGAGTGGGGCTATCTTCATCCTCCACACACGCGTGCCCATCTCATATGTACCTACTGCTAACTTTAAAGCCCTAAGGTTTAAGGGGAACGACACCGCAACCCGTTTACGGCTCGTTTGAAAAGAAAAACTAAAACTACATGCCCGGCTAAAAATAGGGAGCCCTCGCCTTAATTGCGCATGTGGAATTTACTGCACAATTTAATGATTGCGTTGCGAGTACGTACGCTGCAAGGAAAGGCGGAGATTATTATTAGCTGTCATTATTGATAGGAGTTCGGAATATTCCTCTACATAAAATGCCAGGTCAAATTGTGCTTTAAGATACACACGAGCTTTCTCTCTATGTTGTATGACGGTCTAACTACAAATTAAGAACAGTACACCGTTACATTTAGCGCATAGACTACTAATCAAGTCTTATCTTTATCAGCTAGTTGCTGCGGAGGTTCAATGAATAAATGTAAATATTTCGGTCTGGTCACGACCGACCGCGTTTGCGAATAAGAAGTGGTTATTTAAGTGGTAATATGTTACTTTTCGTACATATCGGGTAATAATGCCTGCGAGTGGTCCGCAATTCTGAATTACTTTTGTGATTTGTGGTGTACCAAAAAGCGATGCTGCTTCCAATACATCTTGAATACTAAACAGCAGGTCTAAGTGGTTTTTATTTTAAACGAGGCGCCTCGGGTGTTCGTTTCCTACATTTTAAACAGATTAAAATCTCGCACAGGTGGTTAGAAGATTTAGGTATAAATGTCACTGTCAAGAGCAGCATTAACAATTGAAACATTACATTCTTTTAAGGAAATCGCTGTATATTTTTTTAGCATTTACAGAATACATTTATTAGAAAATTAAGCAGCTAAACTGTAGTGAGACTGTCGTTTAAAAGCAGAGTAATGCCAGTTACATTGATAACCAGTGTAGCTATTTCGCGAACATTAAAATATGTATGAATGAATAAAAAATTTGATAAATAACATTATTTTACTAACAATGTAGTTCTAAATTGATCATACGTGAAATGTGAATAAGAAAAGCTTTGACACTACAAGTCAAACACAGTGTAATAATAATCCAAAACCAATATTGTGAACGACAGAAAATAATCCAAAGACTTTTGTCTGAAGCCTCGCAAATATTGTAGTTGAAAGATGGATCAGAATGTTAGCTGCATTGTATTTTTTCTTTATTGAATTAGCATTAGCACTTTAAGCCTGCAATTTCCTATATAATGTGTACAATTTAAAAGGTGTTTTAACTTAAAGAATTGCCATTATATTGTCTCGTTTTTATTCAATGCTATTTTATTTGTTACTTTTCAATCATCTCATATATAATATTCTTCACATACTATACTTATTATCTCCTTACTACTTTAATGAGAGAATCTAAAATGTTTTTTATAGCTTATTCAAACCACTACTTCCTAAACATATATAGTAGTCGTATTTTCACGGCTAACCCTTTAAATACTGGTGGTAAGGTGCTATGTATGAACTGGTATAATTTGTAGAGAGGATAGCAGTAATTCTAAAGCAACTGATGCTCTGACCTCATATCTCAATGAGGTCGACGACATTGACGTCTATAGGCTCCAGAACTCCGAACACTATCGACGCTATGAAATCATTGAAATTCATTATTTTTTTCATTATCAAAATGTAATTTTAATTTAGAGTTTGCAAGTTAAGAACTAAAGCCGTTAAATTTCTATACGTGAGGTGTCGCAACAAGCTATTCGCACAATGGCCCCATAATTAAAGTTTTGACAGTCGCTCATCGCTGCGTATTACAAATTGTGTAATTTATTTTCAATTATTTCAATAGATAATTGTTGCTACCGATGATTATTAAAATGCAAAATAAACTGTTTCTCAACAGACTATTGTCATAAAAAAAATCGGTTGTCTGTAAAGTCGGTTTACGGGCGATAGTTGAACGTGACAACGTCATAAGAAAATACGCCTCAGAGCGAGGTAACGCCGCATGAGTCATGTTTTTTCGTGCGTGCAGCCGTCTCCATTGAATTATAAGACGTTGTCACGTCAAAAACATACAAATAGATAGTTTAGTTAATTAAATTGAAATGTTCAGGGAACAGCGGTATTCGCATTTCTGCAGATAAATTATGATGCATAATCTAGCTTTATATTTAACTTGCTAGTATTACTGAGGTGCTGTGGTCTATTAATTTAAATGGTATAGAATAGATACCTATTAATCCACTCATTAATTAATTACAAAATTCAT